TAAACTGTTGAACTTGGATATTTACCTGGAATGACAGGCTGGGTAAGAAGAGTATAAACCCAGGAAGTAGCCGAGAGGGCCAAGGTCACTCTGGAGGAGTGGCAGATATCTGCAACTCAGGTGGAAATCAGCTTTTAGTCCATGCTGACAGTAAAGCTAACTCTACGTATCACATGGAATACTGCCTCCATGTTTAAACACGGTGGTGGCAGCATCATGCTTGCTCTTCATATTTAAAAGAATTCCAGTAGGTAAAGACTTTTTTGAAAAGCACTGTAAATATAAATTTTCATCCATTTTTTTTTTTATCATCTACTGAGATTAAAAGCCTCGACCACCCAAGGGAACATATGCGGAGTGGAGACATTCAGTCTTTAATGGGTTTGTTGTTTTTAACAGAGATAGGGATGGAGAAATTAGCATTCTGCAAAGATCTGTTTGAGTTCATAAATATGTTTAACTGTTTTTGGCATTGAGAGAAAGCAATTTGTCTGCTTTGACGGGGTGTTTTGGCATCGCTTGTTGCTGTCACCCTATTCCTGTTGCAAATGCTTTGTGCTACCAGCTCTGTCTGTATAGCTCTGAATTTGTGCTGTCAGGAGAGGTGAGGATAAAGTGAAACAATTCAGCTGCTGCTGGTCTGGATTCTCACCTCTAAGCTCCCACAGAGTGTATAATGATGACATCAGCATGTGTTTATTTCAACTCCTATTATTTTTATGTTGGTAAACAACATAAAAAGGGATTGAAGACTTCCATAATAACGTATATTATTTTTGTGCAGATTTTTCTTTGGTTTTGTATTGTGCTGTCTGCCAAGGTGACATCATGGAGGCGATGGCACCCATTGATTTGTCTGAAAACTGACAGAATATTTAGTAGAATATCTATTTTTCGTGCTGATGGTGAGAAGGGAAGCAGACCCAGGGCTAAATTTATCTTGCTTTATGTCTGAAAACAACATAAAATGATAAAATAATAATTAGTCAGCAAATTAAATTTATTTAATTGTAATACAGAATTTAAAGAGAATTACTTAATAACAATATTACAGATAGTTACAACAAACAAATAGAGAGAACCAGAATAATATTCAGTACGAAAAGTAAAAACACAGGACTACAATATCTAAAAAAAACACTGTGATGAATAAATACACTGAATCAAAATAATGTAAAGTCAGGCAAAATAATTCAAAATACTGTTTTGTTTTTTAATATATTGCCACAGATTTGCCAATATATAAGAATATATATAGAAATACAAGTAATGCTTGTGTCATTTACTACTACTACTCCATTATAAAGCACCAATTTACAGCACATGTCTTTTCAAGGCACTTTACACAGTCATATCAAACAAGTCATACAGAAGGGGTTTTGTTTAATCCTGCAGATTGCAATGAGACATTGTCTTTGCACAATTCACTCCTCCTGGATGAGCACGTACTGTAGCAGTATTGGACAGTTGCTTGCACTGTGTTGTTCACTTGAAGAAATCTCTCATACCAAGCATGCATGCATGCAGCTTGAGTTGTTTTAATGGAGCTTACATTTTCTCAACTGCATACATTCGTTCTCCGGTGGTTCTTCACTGGGTGGGTCTCCACTACATTATACAGTATGTACTTTAAGTACTTATGTACTTTTAAGAATAAAATGTGAATGAGTAATGCTTTTGTGCATTTGCGGCTGTTGAGTGTTTAGTTTGGAGTCAACACGTGTCATTTATTCCATGTGTGTCAGATTTGCCTCCCTCCCCTTGCTCTTCCATTTGACGCTAGATTAATGCTTTCCATCAGGCTTAACCTCAATTGAAATGACCCAGTTCTCTTTGATGTTTGATCTGTCCATGCTTCATGATATTTCCTTGCTTCTCGTCTTCTTATGAGTAATTCTTTCTGTTAGTCTCAAGGCTTTTGCATTGACATACAGCATCAAAACCTCACTGGGTCACATAACTGGCTGCTGAAATCAGGGGGCTTCACACTGAGCATGCATTCCATTCCTGTAAAAAACTGGACATCCGTTTGGGTTTAATCATATATTTCAATGTGAAGTATTAGCTTTTAAAAACACTTACAGTACTCCACTGGTATAGCTGTAATAGAAATAATGTCACGTAGGAATACATGTTAATTTTGTTGCAAGGTTTGAATACCTGTCATCGGAGGAGTTACTAAAACTATTTAATCTTTGCTTGAAACAAAGCATTTGCTTTAATAATACCATATAAATATGGTTTAGGTATTATAATGATAAGATATAAACCATAATAAATACAGCAACTAACTGGATGTTTTGGCAGTTGAGCTTCAAGCCAAGCCAACCTACTTTGCAATTTCAGGTCAAAAATATACAACAGGAAAATCTTAAAGTCTCAAAATAAAACAATTTACAATGCCTCCTGTCTGTGTTTACCTTTGCTACTTTCTTTGTAAAGCAACAACATTAAAGTATTGCTTTTGCAACTTCAGATGCACCCTAAAGTCTGACAGCCTTGAAGTTTTTAATGAGTTAAATCAAAATTTCCAGGCTGCAAGGGAGATTGTTCAGCAGACTCACCGGTTCTCTTTTCATCACCTGCTCAAATAATTTTTGAGAAGTTTGAAGTAGCTCTGCCATGTATAAAACCACTATAAAGGAAGATAAAAAACAAAGACAGGGATCAACATTTCAAAATGTAAGCTGAACATAAAGGAGTAGAGTTGAATGAAACGACACCTGTCTTCCTCAGGTGTCTTCCTTGACTTTATTGTCAGAGAGACATTATTTTCAATTAGGCAGGGCACCAATTACACCTTGAACCAAACTGATATGTAGACCAATGTATGGAATAGAGTTCAGACAGTTTACTTTAGGAAATGTGTGGAGGTGACCAGCAGTGGAGACTGAGGCAAAATACAAGATATCTCAGCATCCTTCATCTTCTTTAGACCAGGCTTTACATATTGTTCTAATTTCAACTCTTACTTTATTGTATTTTATCTGAAGTAAATCTAAAGTGAGCTGCTGGTGGTATCTTTGCCTTTCAGCAAGTGTGGAAGTCTAACACACAGATTTACTAACGAGCTAATTTGTAAAGACAGTTTTAAGAGTATTATATTTATAGATAATTTATATTTTCAGACTTCTAGTTGCAAAAACAAAAACTGACACTAGGCAGTGTGTACCATACCATACCAACTTTATTTATGAAGCACTTTTTCCAACGACAGGAGTATAAAGTGCTGTTCAAGATTATGAAATAAAATAAAATTGTAAATTAGAAAATATCGAATATAAAATACATATACATATATACAGACACAATAAATACATCAAGCTTTGTAGCTGTAAAGTGACACAATATGAACCTTTTAAGAGGTCATGATTTTTTTTTCTTATATGATCCTGTAACCCTTCTCTGGAAAACCTGATCCGCGTTTTGCCAATTATTTTTGGAGAGAAGAAAGAGGCATTTGATTTTACTGAGATAACCATACCAACGCCCTGGCTCTTTAAAAGTCACTCAAATATTCCCCCAGCCACACTCATATAGCTTTCTTGATTAAAACATATTAGTTTTGGCTTAATTAATCACTTCTGATCACTGTGATTTTTGATTGCATTGTTACTATTCCCACTTTTTTTTCTAAGTTCAGCCTTGAACCGCTGACTTTTCTCACAGCCATTACAGCAGAAGCATCATTAGCGCACCACAAAACCATCCGCTGAGAATTGAGGATATGGAAAAAGGAAGAACAAATGTCTACATGCATGCAAGCTGATTGTCCGCAGCGATCTGATATTTGGCTTAATGGTTTCTTGTAATCAGGAAATGACTGGGCTTCCAGTTAGCATGGCTTCATTTGCCATTAATTTGTTTGTCTCTACATGAACAGATAAGCACAAATATTTTCCTCCCACACTTTTATTTACAGCTTATATGTGGAAAAATCTGATGCTGGTTGTTTTGCACGGTCACATTTTGGCTCTGAGCCACTGTTATTTCAGGACAAGCATAGCAGAGGGGGTGGTGGAGGATAAAACTTTGGATTGACCAGTTTGGCCCAGCTGAGTTTATTCTAAGTGTCTCTGGGTGCGAGGCTAAATTTAGCTGGTCTGTCCTGTTGATAATTCAGAGGAATTTGGACTTTAAGCTTCTGTTATGAAGGAGCTTTTCTTCATCCTGATCTCAGCGGCTCTGCTGAGTTTTACAAAACAGTCCTTGCAAGGCTGATGCTATGAAGAGAAAAATGTGCAGAGTTTGCTTTGTGTCATTGCATGTCATATCTAATGTCCTGGGAGCCAACATAGACACAGGAAAGAAGCGCAACCTTCATTTTTTCTTTTAGCCCTCTCCCCATCTTTGCTTTTGGGCTCTCTCTCCTCCTCCTCTTCTTCTCCTCCTCATCCAAACCCTCTCATGCTCTCCACATTTGTTATACAGGGGTGCAAACTTGCTTACCTCATCATTTTATTTTGGTGTGCAAAGCCCTATTTCTGTATTGGGATAAAGGACAGTGAAGCAGAGTAGAGGGTGCGCTGCTCCTTGTAGCAGAGGAACTGTTTCGCTGGTGATCTGTGTGGAAAAGAGGAGGGTTCTGTGGCTGCAGGGCGGACCACCCGGTCACTGAACTTCCAACGCTTTGGGAATTGGAGACATTTGGATGGAACACAGCTAAAATAACAGACATTTTGGGAAATTATGGATTTTGAACAGAGGACTGTTGGGATGATACGATGTGGAGGACTTCTTAAAATGTCAATTGAAACCCTAGTTGATGGACGTAAATTGATTTGTTTCTTTTGAGTGTCCGTGAATCCCTCTTTTTGGTTTTTGCCTTCGTCAGCATATCACTAAATGTCTGAGAAATAATGACAGAGTTCTACCTGGTACAATAATGCTTACGCTTTTGTTTTCTGAAGATAGATTTGCAAAGGACTCAGTTGGATGTTTTGCCTCATCTTTTACACGTGTTCTTTCCTTAACTGTCTTTGTTTTCCTGTTTTCTCCAGTCTGACAGTAATGCTAGTTACCTGCGAGCTGCCCGGGCGGGAAACCTTGAAAAAGTCCTTGACTACCTCAAGTCTGGAGTTGAGATCAACATTTGCAATCAGGTACGTTTTTGTGAAATGCAAACATTCTAACAAAGCCTTATTTCCGCTCTATAGAAACAGTCAAACTAACAAATTGCAAGTTTAACTCCTCCGAATAATGTTCTACTCCCAGAATGGGCTAAATGCTCTACACCTGGCCTCCAAAGAGGGACATGTAGAGGTTGTTGCTGAGCTGCTGAAGCTTGAAGCAACAGTGGATGCAGCCACAAAGGTAAGACACACCCAGTCTCTCATGCAAGTAAGCTTGAATTCAGTGCAAAACATGGTCTTTGTTAGAGTTCTAAGGAGAATCTCTAATTAACGATGCCTTTGGGGATTTCTTCTGCCGTTGGTTACAATTATAGAGGAATATCTAACTAGTGTGATCTGGTGAATAAAAAGGCGCCGTGTTATGCAGATGGTTCTTCTGTTTCTACTTTTTGTAACGTTTTTAATCACAGAAAAAAAGGTAAATATCAGATATAGTTTACTCCATTTTTGGAAAGCTGGTTTATTTCACATCTCCTATCTTGATCAAAGTCTGATCACTACCAGACCTGTAGATTCAATAAAACACTTAATTCAAAACAGTTTGACAACAAGAAGTAGTCAAATAGATGCCTAAACAATATTCACTGATCTTAACAAATTTAAGAACAGATAAAAAAAATCAGAGTTACTGACATTTATTTGTCTAGAGATGTTTACAAAGCTAAGTCCTTACACTGCATAACATTCTATCTAGGTACATCACTTTTTCTAAAAATAAGTACATGAGTTTTTCTTGAATTGAGCAGATAAGTGAGTCATTGCCAATAGAATAAGAGAATTTACATATAAAATAAGAAAAAAAACTGCATTGTCTTATTCCAAATACATAATATCAAATTATCTTATTTGTATGGCAGAAAAACACTAATTCCACTGGCAAATCATCTTTTTGACCCACGTTTAAATTGCCCCAGCTCTGATCGGCATGCAGTGAGAACACCAGAGCCTGGCTGATCTGCAAAATTATGTGATTCTGTTGAGCGCAATATGGTCGTCAACTCTGTTTACATTTGATAAACATGGAGCAGCACTGGTGAGAGGGATGCAGAGGGACAACAGAGCGAAACATTAAAGCACACTGACTACCCCCTGGCTTCCTTACATGTTACTCTCCATTGTTTACTTTCCTGAAAAGCTGTCGCACTGGTGACATCATTAATGCTAACCCAGCATGATGGTGTCACCAGACACTCACCTGTGGGAGGACAGAGGCCATGCAGCTTTCCAGAAGGGAGTTAGACTCAGCTTTTTTTCCCAGTGGGAAGGGATCCAAATGCCTATTGTTAGCGAGTCATCCCATATTTGAAAAACACCCATCCATTTTCAGTGAGAAAGAGGCTTTAGAAAAATGACAAAGACTGCTCCAACTATATATCTTCATTTACTATAACTTGGCTACTAGTAAAAGCATTTCAATCACTTGGAGGTGCAAGTACGTTGAACATAATTTTCTCCACTCACACAACTTATGCCACATTACTAACATTTTTAAAGGCAAGGAGGTACCTTTGATTCTTTGAAGTATATTCCATTAATCTGGGTTCTAAGTGTGGCCAGAATTGAAGGTGTCACCATTGCTCCAAAAAAAAAAGGTCCTGTCTCACATTTATCAGAGAAGATTATCTTAATAATTCCCAAGACTTTAGAGATGTATTCTACCAACTGCTGAAAAAAACTTTCCACACCATAACTTGGATAATGTATTGTAATTGGTTAAATTATGATTTTTACTGTTTAACACAATATTCAGATGGGAAAGCAAAGTTTGCTTGAAAGCTTCACTGAACAAATGAAGTCATGGTTTAAAAAATAAGATGTTTCTCTTTAATTTACTTAGGCTGTTTGTCTGATGCTAAAAACAAATTGTATCTGAAACATTTAAGTGTGATTAAATATAAAATATAAATAAATCAAAAACAAAACCAGATCTATGAGGGTGCAAATAATCTCAAACCATGTTAATGCATACAAGCCAAGCAAAGCTACCAGAGGTTTGATTCTGAAAAGGGACTCAGAAGCAGAGCCAATAGAAACATTATTCATATTTATACCTTTAAGGCTTTTCAGTCCCCTTTTATGGGCTGCTTTAGCATCTCTGCCCCAGGCAACTTGTCTGGTGCTGACATAAACATAGGGCGCTATAAAAAAAATTCAGATCAAGGAGAAAATCTACAATTAAAATATCCCTGTATTATGACCCTGAGGATTCCTAGGATTCGTTTTGATGCTGTGTGCATCTGAATATCAACAGATATTATGATTTTTTTGCAGATTAAGTGGGTGATAGTGAAAAATAACAATCAAACATTTTTGAGGTTGTTTATAGGCACCCTCCTGATATGTTTCTCATCTAGTTGTGAATATAATAAATAAAATGAAATAATGGGTTTTCTTTTGTTTATTGACTCCTTAAAACAATATTTAAAATATAAATTTCAGATAATGATTCCTAAATTTCTTTTTTTTTTTTTTTTTTTTTGTTGAAAAACATCATTGCTTTACCTAATACAAGATATTGCATCATTGATTGCATCTATAAGCTCTAAAGCAAGGGTTCATTTTAAGACCTAAAGTGTAATGTGGGCCAAAATACATCACATCATAAAATACATCACAGTATAAATCATGAATTAAATAGATATAGAATTAGATATAAAAAATGTACAGTTTTATTTATTTATTTAATCTAAGTTTATGATCAAGTATACCATTACATTAAGACATGAACAAAGGAATTAAATGCCTCACTAAATATTTCAAAGCACCTTTTAAAGGATTCAATAAAAAAAAATGAATATATTTTTAGAAATACAGTTAATTAAACATACATGTAGTTATTTAAGTTTATATCTATGTATCACCTATAGAGGGGGTCACCCATCTCTCACACTGTTATTTTTGGGGTCACAGTCTGAAATGTTTGGGATCCCCAGATCCATACCATGCCAATGGCACTTCTTTTATATGTTTCGGGTCATTTTTCTCACTCATGCCAGTGATTTCTTATTGCTTTCTTTTATTTCCCCCATATGTGTTGGATATTACTAGTAAATGATAGGATTCTCCCACCTTTAATGATAAACTCTACAGCTTTGCTAAAATTGCTTAGGTTCCCTTGTTAATTCCACTGATAAATGCTCTCCTTGCCTGTTCTGTGATTTTCAGCTGTGAATGATAGATTCAAAGGCACTTTGTGAGAGCCTGTAAGTGTTTTTTAATAAGCTAATGAAATCACAGTAAAGCACAGTAAAGTAGTTATAACAAAACAATTTCAAGAGGTGGTAATACTTTTGCATCTGACTGCATATAACAAGTCACCTCCATATTTTCTGTCTTAATAATAGTCTGCTCTGAATATCAGATGCATATCTAATTTTACTGCTAATGAACCCAGTAAATGTGACCAATCACTGTTGCGCTAAAGCACCTTGTCACAAGCACATTCCCATATCATATAGCCAAAGGACAGCCTGGGGGTCAGCTCTGCCTTCACTCTGACCGGGACAGATTCTTAGAAGCTTGGTGTGGTTTTATTTTTAGGGTGAGTCTCATTTATGTGTGAGATGTCGGGATCGGAAGTGACACATTGTTGGCAGTTCAGCCAGGGGGATGCCAGAGCCCAAGTACCAGTTCAAGCATGTGATCACTGGGATGGGATTCACTTGTTCATATGGATGCGGGCTGCAGTGGAAAATAAAGTAGCTCACGTACAGGGGAAATGCTGGGACAGGTGGACCAGAGCTTAACATGCATTCTCTTGTTTGTTCTGTGTAATCTAGAAAGGAAACACTGCTCTGCACATAGCCTCACTGGCTGGCCAGACGGAAGTCGTCAAAGAGCTGGTCACTAACGGAGCCAATGTCAACGCACAATCTCAGGTGGGACACACACGCTAATGTAAACCCAAAGATAAAATGGTGCTAAGAGAGCGCAGCTCTGTTGACCTTAAGCCAATATAGTGTAATCACACTTCCACAAGGCACGCGTTTGTTGGGCTGATAGTGTATGTGGTCATCAGTGACATTGTAGGAATCACAGTTTGGAAAGGTTTTTACTGACAGTAGCTGGCTTATTACCAATTAGGCTTCTGCTGAAAACTGCTGTCCATGCAATTTAGGTTTACTCTGTCACATCAAGGTGAAAAAGAATGACTTCTTCTCAGTTAGTAATTCTTTCTTGCCTCTTCTTTTGAAACATGGGTTCCAACTCGGATCTTTGAGAGCAACTGTGACAGAAATATATATCCCAACGTCAACACCACTGTATAATATGACTGTGTCTCTATCAAGCCTCTGCAGATTTTTGATGGGATGTTGAGGAAGTTTTTCACTCATTTGATTGAGTTGTGTTGGAGGAGAGATCTATCTAAAAGTGTTGATAGATCCTGTGTTGAATGACAGAGAGATTCAAAAAGTTGTCTGGACTCCAAACAGCTGCGTTTTGAGCAATCACAGCATCTTAAAAGAAATTATCCTATTTTTCTGAAGTTTATTTTGTAGTGCAGGTAAATGTGTGTTGTGCTCTGATGATCTAAGGTTTAAGATCATATTGAACCAGTGTCTTTCTTTTAACGTTTGTATGTGTACATCATGTGTCTTTTGCCTGGTTCTGCATGCAGAATGGCTTCACTCCTCTGTACATGGCGGCCCAGGAGAATCACCTGGAGGTGGTGCGGTTCCTTCTGGAGAACAACGCCAGCCAGAGTATTGCCACCGAGGTAAAGTGCTTGTGTAGAAATGCGTTGTACTCGACTATGTATTTTTTATGTCACTGCTGTCGTGCAGTATGTCTCCATGTATTTGCCTCAGTCACTTCTGGTTTTGCAGCTGTTGTACTAACCTCATTCATCTGCTCTCGTCCTTTTTTTCCTCCTTTTTTACTTCTCCCTCCCCCACTTGCCCCATACCTTCCTGTGTTTCCTTCTGTCTCTCTGTCCTCTCTGTTTCCTCTAAATGTGTTTTCCCTCATCCTCTCTGTCTCACATAATCACTCCATTTGTCTCCTCCTCTCCTCCTGTCCCTGCTCCTTCTACAACCCCCGCACCCCCCACCTTACTCCGCATATCTCAATGAGCGCCACGGCAGAGTCTCATTGATTGGTAGTGTATGTTGGTGGAGGCAGTGACCTTGAGTTGGTCACAGACGAGATCAGCTCCGCTCTCTGCCTCTCCTCCACAGCTGCTTCTGAGATTTAGCACTGCTTAGTGTGTTGAACTCGTACACTTGCACGACTACCAGTCACCACGCATATTCACACAAACACATGGTCAGACAGTGATAGATAGCTGCTTGTGCTAACACTGAATCCAGTCTACAGTCAACTGGTTTACAGCCATGGGCTACATCCTACAATATGGGATGCCTCTCTAACTTTATCTGCATGTAAATAGAACATAATAGATAACCTGCAAAGCAAAAAATGAGGAACCAGTGCAGACAATTTTCTCAAAGTGAAAATATTGAAATGTTGTAATTTCAATGCCATATTAGTAAAGGTGTTCAAAGCTCACAGGTTGTTGTTGAGGTTTTTCCATTTTCTGTCAACCACTGGGATGTTAAATCTGAAACTAAGCTTGTGGAGAGTGAGGGCAGAATCGATCCATACATAACAAAATTGTCCGGGTGTTGTAGTTGTTGGGAAATTATGAGGATAACACTATTTGCTACAGCTGGGGGGATTCCACCCGCATCATTTCAACATCTTTTTCAACTAAGGAGACAGCAACCGACTGAATAACAGTCGCCTGTAACACAGCATGTCAGCTTCAGCAGGACTTAATGACATGCTGATGAGGTCATTAGGTCATTAATTCAGCGATTAATGACTTCATTGGTTTTTGAGCGAGGATACATCTGAAACATGCTGAACATGTTGATCTCCACTGGTGTAGGAAAGTTGATATCTATCAACAGCCTTGAAATGTATCTGCTTTTCTACACACTTACTGCATTATGACATATTTCTATTATAAATAAGACACTTTTTCAATACAGACTTTGCAGAACCTTATTTCAACATCTAAAAATTATTAATTGAATTCCTGCCTCTGAGCTATAAATGTAGTCAAGATGTCATACATTTATATTCCTGTATATTTTATATTCGATATATTTTTACTATGTGCCTGAAGCAAGTGAGATAAGAGAAAATATACAAGCTACCTCTCTTCATAATCTGCTTTAAACCAGTTTAACCTCCAATAATCTGCCATTCTTCATCAGTCAAAGACTAAGTATTGCATATATCACTTTGGCATTAGTGAACTTCTCTTTTCCCTCATATGCAGGATGGCTTCACCCCTCTAGCGGTGGCCCTCCAGCAGGGCCATGACCAGGTGGTCTCCCTGCTACTGGAGAACGATACAAAGGGCAAGGTGCGTCTGCCTGCCCTGCACATCGCTGCACGCAAGGATGACACCAAGGCCGCGGCCCTGCTCCTTCAGAACGACCACAATGCCGACGTGGAGTCCAAGGTGAGCTTTGACGCTGGTCCTTCGGTCAGCTGGTTATTTTTATGTCTGATTTTTAATTTGAACCCATAGGGATTCTGGATTCCTGCGCTAGTTAAGCTTGTTGCTTTAACTTCTCACTTATTATTGGAAGTTGTTGCAAATATTTACTTTATTTATTTATTTATTTATTTATTTATTTTTTTTGCAAAAAGGAGAAAGAAGCAAAACTGGCTTTTGACTATGTTTAATTGCTGACTATGCAAGTTTCTAGAGGCATTAAAAGAATGCTTTATTCAAATTATCTTTGACACATCTGGGATGGAGTGGAGAACATGCTAGCAAACACTAAATGAAAGAGCCTGCTAATGAAATGTTGGCATTAATATGCAAGACTTAGTTTTACTGACATGCTTTGTGCATTATCAGTATAATGAAGAGATTGAACTTTTATAGTACGGTATATCCAACTTATAGTTTTAAAAAGATCTGCTTTGAGAGTAAAATGGAAATGCTCCATGAGTGCAACATATGATGAAACATTATAACTACATTAAGCTTCAAAATATTATTCACAGTCCTCAAATTCTATTTAAATTTACATTTTGAGTCCAGGTGAAGTATTTTGAACCAAGCTCCTTTTCTCCTCTTTGCACCTCCTCTTTTTAAACAAAAGGAGGCTTTTCCGCTTTTTTATACTAACTGCCCATTCTCTCTTCTTTTGGCCGGCTCTGTAGATGATGGTGAATAGAACAACAGAGGTATACATATATATCTGTACATTATGTAGCGTCATCATTGCAGTTCATGAAAACAAACAATCACTTCAGTGTGTCCAACCTAATGCAGTAGTGTTTCTGCAGCCCTTTATATCCCCCTATTCCATTTAAGCTTGTGTCTTTCTCCTCTTCATGGCTTCATTATAGTTTACACCTAAAGTCATGCAGAAAAATCGAAGAAAGTAAGCATGTTTATACAAAAACAGAGAAAAATCTAGAAGTGGAGTTCTGGCTTTCAAGGTTTTTCTTGATTGAAATGGTTTCATGGTGTCTAAAAATGTCCAAGGTTTCCCTTTCTGGCTAATTAATCTATGAATGTTGACAGAAATGTTATCTTAATGTGTCCTGGAAAGTGTATGTCCATGAAACTGGTTAAACATGATAACCATTGATCGCATGAAATGTGGTTATCATTCACTGAATAGATGCAGTTTGTCTTTAACCTGCATGGCAATCCCTTTAAGCTGTAAAACATCCAGCTGTCCAGCAACAGGCCTGAGTCTGTTGGTTTTAATCTTTAGCATGCAGTGCCTTGCAAAATGTCTCTAACCACTTCTCCTTATTTCAACTTCGTTATATTTCATTGCAATTTTATGTGATTAGCCTTTATGTAAATCCTTAAATCTGAGTTAATTCTCTTCAGAATACATACATTGCACAGGTATATGATGGATATACATTAAGTAAACATTCTTGCACATTTACATTAATATTGCAATGATCCTAAAGGACTTGAAGAGAGAGAGAACATATATATAAAGTAGGTAGAGCATTTTTAAAGAGAATTATTTGCACCCACTTTATATAGGGTATCAGAGCAAAGGTACTGTAGCAGATTAAAGATATACACCTTTCAGATTGTAATTTGCAAAAACAAACATGAAAACCAAATATGAGTACTGTATGTAATGAATATGCTGTATTATATGCTGATCTATCGAAATCCATATAAGATATATGAAATTCGTGCTTGCGATCTGACAGCAAGCTCAAATTATGTTGATAAATTTGCAAGGCACTGCTCTTCTAATCCTTAATCTGTGCACTTGAAGCATTTTGCATGGGACTAAAGCAACAAGGTAACATGCTTCTGCAATAATCAGGGTCCCTTCCTAACCCAAAGGCCAGGTGGCCACCTCCCGTGTGTGCCTGTTGGTTCGCTGGCTTTGTTTCTGCCATTGGCAGGCCTGACAGTCATCTGGTATGATTCACCTAAAAATGGCTCTGTTGACTTGAAGACTGTGCATTGTGGTAAACAAATTTGCATACTGCTCAATAAATGTTTTTGAGGAATAGTTCAAACCATTTTACATTTACAGACTTTAAAACCAAAAGACATTTTGAAGCACTTTTAAATTATATCTAAAAATAAAATCATTATAATTATACTGGTTTGACTTTTGTAGAAACCCAGGGTATACTCCAGGTACACTCAGGGTGTGCAAACATCCCAAAATAACCGGTCTTGCTAATGACATCCTATTATTTACATTCCAGAAACTAATAAGCTTTGATAACCCCTAATTATTTATTTGCTGGTTTTCTGTTCCTTCTCCTCCCTTTGTCTTAACAAATTATGCATAGAAAAATCCAAAAAACTGGATGTTAAGTTAACTTGCAGTGCACCTGTTTTATTTTAACCAATGCAGGATTATGAGTGTTAAAAAGCTAATTTATCAAACATATTTGATATTTAAAGCACCTTTTATATGGCTGAATGCTTTACAGAGGTTTAAAAACAGGGAAATGCATAAAATGACATGCACATACAAAAATATTGAACAGTTTAGCAGTGGGTAGCACTGCTGCCTTGCAGTAAGAAGGTTGTGGGTTCAATTCCTGTCCCAGAGTCTTTCTGCATGGAGTTTGCATGCTCTCCCTGAGCATGAGTGGGTTTTCTCTGGGTACTCTGGCTTCCTCCCACAGTACAAAAACATGACTGTTAGGTTAATTGACTTTTCTAAATTCTCCTTAGGTTTGAGTGGGCGTGAATGGTGGTTTGTCCTGGTGTCTCTGTGATGCCATGCAATGAACTGGCAACCTGTCCAGGGTGTACTCCGCCTCTTGCCCATTGACTGCTGGAGATAGGCACCAGTACTGCTCGGGACAAGCGTGTCAGATAATGGATGAATGGATAAAACATTAATAGGAGACAAGAAACAACTAAAACTAATATTTATTTTCAAAAGGATCAAGATCTACATTCAGCGACTGCAGGGCAATTTAAATTGTCAGACTTAATTTGACAATTTACTGTCAATAAACATGTGGTTGGACCCATATGTAATGATTTCTCTTTGAGAAAATTCCAGTAATCATGAACGTGTGTCCTTCTTTGTTATTGATATAAGGGTTAGTTCATGACTTCCTCTAAATATTCTTCTGATTTGTTTCTAATCTATTGTGTCCTTTTGTCTGGCTTTGGTATTCTTGTATTCTTCTAATCCCCAGAGTGGCTTTACCCCCCTGCACATCGCTGCTCATTATGGCAACATTAACGTGGCCACATTGCTGTTGAACAGAGGGGCTGCTGTGGACTTCATGGCTAGGGTAAGTTTATTCTGCCCTCTGCTGTCCGATGGGGACATTACAAGCTGTCCTTTAGGAGATAAGCAAAAGTCTTCACACTTTTAATCAAAATTTTAAATTAAATTACATGCTTTTTTTATTGTGAACCTATTTGTGCAGCAATCACAGGTTTTAGTTTAGACAATTAAAGGCAATATTCTACACACTGAGCCAGAAGCCTACATTTTCCTTTATATATCCATTAAATATGTGATGAGAGTCTACCAAATTCAGTTGTTTCATGGGATGTTGCCCTCACCATAACTAATGGAGGCCTTATTACGTTGTGTTGACTGCTGTTTTTTTAAGGGTGCTGGTGTTTGCTCAGGGTTTGACGCTGGTTACAGGTCTAGATTGTCTTGCATGAGGAGAAGCGATGATTAGAGTTACGTGATGAAGAGGTCCTACTGATGTTTGTTTTTCAATGTACTATTTATTTTTCCCCAAGGTGGGTATATGGCTGTTTAAATGTTGAAATCCCTTTGATCTAAGGAGAAAATTGAATACATTTTTGAAATACAGTTTTATTTGTAAAGACATTTAACGTGCAATTTCGAGGAATATTAAACAACTAAGTTTACTGCTAATTAATTATAAAAATTGTCCTTTTTTCCAATTAGAATGACATCACTCCACTTCATGTGGCATCAAAAAGGGGCAACAGCAACATGGTGAAGTTACTACTAGACAGAGGGGCCAAAATAGATGTAAAGACCAAGGTGAGCCTGATTTTTCTTCTTCTTCTCTAAATATTGTGGAAGTCATAAGTTAAGAACAGAGGGTCCTTTTGTGACATGATTTGATGTAAAGACCCAAAAGAAAATACTGGAAGTTTTAGATTTCATTCTTCCATTTTCAAAACTGTTGGAAGTTTATCTCAACCTTTGAGTAACATTTTAGAAGCAAAGATATTTTGTTGAAAAGCGGAGATAAATATTGTTGGATTTCTGTGCCTTTAGGACGGTCTAACACCTCTTCACTGTGGAGCGAGGAGCGGCCATGAACAGGTGGTAGAAATCCTGTTGGACCGAGGAGCTCCTATCCTGTCCAAGACCAAGGTAGCTACTTAAATGATGAGTTTAGAAGATGAGGCTTTGATCAATTAATGAAGAGGTCACAAAGACACCACATTTATTTTAGGCTCTAAAGAATAAGGTCATAATAGGTCATTTATTTATTAATCATGCTGACTCGTTTGTTTCAATCAGTTCCTCTAATCACACAGAGCGATTTGAAATATGCTATCCAATCAAACAGCAGATCTGTTGCTGTAGTGTTGTCGCATTGTCTCCATAACGTCTGTGCGACTTCTCCAGAACAGCCTGTCCTCGCTGTGTAACCCTGCAGTTTGACCGCGCAGGACAACCAGTGTAACAACATAGACATTGTTGTAATGACCTCGTTATAACAATGCTTCTGTAACAGCAACTTCCTTCACAGTTTTACCAGTAGAGCGCACGGTCGCCTTCTAACTGCCTGTGTCTGTCTGTCCACCTGTCTGTCTGCATGTGTCTGTTTGTCTCTCTTTGTGTCTGGATCTCTCTGTCTCCTCCTCTCTCTCCTTCTCTGTTTTCTCTGTCCTCTCTCCAACGCCTTGTAGAACGGCCTGTCACCGCTGCACATGGCCACTCAGGGGGACCACCTGAACTGCGTCCAGCTCCTGCTGCATCACGATGTGCCGGTGGATGACGTCACCAACGACTATCTGACTGCACTGCATGTTGCTGCACACTGCGGGCACTACAAGGTGGCCAAGCTCATCGTGGACAAGAAGGCTAACCCAAATGCAAAGGCTCTGGTACGGATAACTAAGCGGCATGTGGAAGCAAAGACTTGGCTCTAATATTGAAGAGGAATATAATTGGCAGTCTTTTTTTTAGATAAAAAACTCATTTACCTCATTTTGTAGTTGGAACTTGGACACAAAAGAGTCTTCCAACTAAATAAATATCAAAAGTAAACATAAACAGCTTTGGAAGAGCTCCCGAAGGCCCTTTGAGAAAGCCCTGACCTCAGTTTAAGTAAACATTTGTTTACTATGATCAAACACTGGATGAGGAGACGAACCAGTACAAGTTCTCACAGAATCTGCCAAAGCAGTGGTCAGATGTCCAGCCAGAATAAAGTCACAATCTTGTTAATGAAACTTTTAAACAAACATTTACCCAAATATTACAACTGCCTATGTGAACATTTGACCCTGTTTTAATTAGATAAAATCCTCAATAAAGTCAAACATTTGCACCCAATTTTTTTTTTTATGAAAGCAAACAGTGCATCAATTTAAATCAAGTATTTCAATTATTTGCTTTGCAGCATGATTCAGTATCACAGATTTTCCTTACTGTAATTTACTGTAAAATTTTTATTGTGCTGAGTTTTTCTTGCTAGATTTTGTAAAAAGATCAATTGTCCAGCTGTTTGTGCAGTACTCATGATCCTCTTTAAAACAGCAACTTATGGCTGAGTCACACCAGGAAAAACTAGAAGAATATAAGACCAAAATAAGGTGGATCCACATACTTCAATTGAGAATTTAAAAAAATGTAACATTGACAAAGTTGAGCAGTTGTATGTGTCTGGATTCATATTTATCCTCTTAAATTGTCATCAATATACAATTAACAGTTTTGTTACAGTCAATACTTAACTAGATGTAACTGATGCTTTAGCCTTAATTTTCTCTGTGACTGTGTGCAGAATGGTTTCACTCCTCTTCATATCGCCTGCAAGAAGAACAGAGTGAAAGTGATGGAGCTCTTGCTGAAGCATGGTGCTTCTATCCAGGCTGTTACAGAGGTACAATAGAGTTGGATCTCAATTTCTAACAAAAGTCCAATCATCCCAGAGCTGCTCTTCAAGAATATTTCATACAGTATTTCACACATTGGAATTGGCATTGAAAACATTATTTCCATCTGCAGTCTGGCCTAACGCCAATCCATGTGGCAGCCTTCATGGGCCATGAGAACATTGTTCATGCGCTGACACGCCACGGAGCATCACCCAACACAACCAACGTTGTGAGTAGATGATAGAAAAGAAATGAAATGTTTCTTCTAAAGTTTTACCTAAAAAAATATATTTTGTGTCCTCCAGCGAGGGGAGACGGCTCTCCACATGGCAGCAAGGGCAGGCCAGGCAGATGTAGTTCGATACCTGCTGAAGAATGGTGCCAAGGTGGACACCAAGTCTAAGGTTAGAGCAAGGAGCATGATTGCGATCTACTCACCTTGGGAGAGAACATTCAGGAATAGCCATTAAGGTCACCTCCAACACTGTGCAGGACGACCAGACAGCGTTGCACATCTCCAGTCGGCTGGGAAAGGTTGACATCGTCCAGCAGCTGCTGCATTGTGGTGCATCTGCCAACTCTGCCACCACTTCAGGTTATACTCCCCTACACCTGGCCGCCCGCGAAGGACACCAAGATGTTGCGTCCATGCTGCTGGAGAACGGTGCCTCACTTTCATCCTCCACAAAGGTCAGGCCAATAGAGGAGCTCATGTTAAACACAGAAACTCAGAAAACAGATCAGATGCCCTATTGTTCCAGTACCCTTTATCCAAGGCCTGCTTAATACCCGTTTGCTGTTTTAAACTCACTTTCAGTTCTGATAGGTGCTGTTGTAAGATTTGTGACTGCTCTGTATCTTAATACTAGTTCTGCACTCAAGCATCTTCAGTTGTGGTTCAAGATGCACATCTGAGTCGTTTCAACGATCAGGGTCAAAGAAGGGATGTGAAGAAGAACTAATGAAGCTGATTTGTGGAAGTGTGCAATGTGTAGCTGGGGGCCGTTTTCAAAGGTCACCTCTGTCAGCAGAGCAGATTAATGGAGGGTAAACCCCATGGTGGGCTCTCTCTCTCTAACACTCACTCATCCAGTATCTTCTGGGGGTTGCACAGATGCTGAGCGAGAAATAGATGCCCCTTGATGTAAAACAGGGAATAATTGGAGTGTAGCAATGATGAACTGACTTGTAATTTGTACTAAATTGAGCCTTTTCAAGGAGTAGCTTCTCCATCTTTCTGCTTGTCTTGTTCGCTGTGGAGGTCATGTGAATGCTGACTGTAGGCAATCAGAAAAGGAGGTCATGTGTTTCAGAGCAAATGGGAATCTGTGGGAGTCCCGCATTCCTCTGGAAAATATGACCAAATGTCTTTAAATATCTCCACATACACACACCCGGAGGAAGCCAGGAGTAACTCCATACAGCACTCCTCTGGAGCATGTTTGGCTCACTTTCTGAGGGAGACGTGATCTACTGTGTTTCTTTTATGAAGTTAATGCTTGCTTACAGCAAAACAGACATAAGAAGTTATTTTAGTCAGTAGGTTCACAAAAGATACAAAAAGAGCGATGAGATTTTTGTGTGATCTTGATTATTGATAGTTAAGGAAAAGAATTCAACTTCCACAGAGCAGCTTAAGTCCCTTTCTAATTAAACATTTTACTTAAATGTGACATTTATTTATTTTTTTCAGTATTTGACTCATATTTCTGAAGTTAACTTCTGTAGAAGACAAATAATAAAGAAATTAGTTAAATTAGTTATAATAAATAAATTAAATAAATCAGTAGTGCCTTATTACAGGTAGGGAGTGGATCTGCAAAATAGATAACGGCTGGAAAACCATGGCGGAGCCAAGTGGTTACTTTTGTAACACTAACCATGTGCTGTTCCAGATCAAATTAACTTGAATCAATAAGTCAGTGAACTGGCTGCATGTAAAACCCCTCCTCCTGAATTAGCAGACAAGATTTAACAATTTACTTGAAGTCACAGTAATTTTCTTGGCAGACTGTCAGACTGAAGCATTAAACTGTCTTCAACCTGTAAGCAGTTCATTTTGAAATCCCTTTTATAGTCCTGTGCTACCAATTAAATGGCAAATAAGGACACATACTGTATTACATTCAGTAAACATCCAAGCTCATTATCACATGAACATGCGGAGCTGAACTGGTCATCCTGAAAGATAAAGCTAAGCATGATTTAGGCAGCACTTTAGACTGACTGACATTCCATTGACTGACATCTGTCTAACCTGATCTACAGCCATTTTAAATCTATAAACTGAGCTGGACAGTTAAAAGTTATCTAGGGGGTTAGAAAAATACATTTGATTTTTATAAGCCTTGGATATATTGTGACTTTCCTCTTTAGTCGTTGTTACCTCATCTTAAGTAAATCAGTTTGCTTGCGTCTTCTTTTTCACACAGTGATTACTATGGATTTTGGTCAGATGAGTAAATTTGTGTGTAAATCTATGTTGCTAAAAATTAATTCATATAAAAAGGCTTTAAAAACACTGAGAGCTCTCTTTATGTCTTTACATTCTATTTATACTGTTCTTATCTCACTGTTTTTTGCCATGTTTCCAACAGAAAGGGTTCACTCCGCTGCATGTAGCAGCCAAGTATGGTAAGATGGAAGTGGCCAGTTTGCTCCTTCAGAAGAGAGCCCCGCCGGACGCTGCCGGAAAGGTGAGGACAAAGCTGCCGTCTATTTTCTTTTAGGAAGAAAATGTCTTCATTAAGATCAAAATATTTTCATAGGGGAACAAAAAGGGTAGATAAAGACATATTTCATTTTTTTTCTCATCTTACAATCTGATTTTTGTTAGGCATTGTCCAAAAGAACAATAGAAAAAACAAAGTTAGGCAGAAAGGTGTGTTTTTTGCAGTGAGGATTGGACCAAAGTATGAGAAATCAAGGAACCCTTCTTATTGTTTAAAATCTGGTTATGATTTTACAAATGATTCTTCAAAGGCTGCTAGGATGCTAGGATTGCACAAAGCTTGTTGGCAGATTTACCTTCGCTCCTCTTATGCACTCAGACACCTACATTGGCACACTTTCTTAGAACAGACCCACTGGCATTCGACCACCACCTGAAAACACTTATCCTAATGGCACTCAGGTATGATAATGAAGCTACCAGAATGCATAGTGTCACGGCAGATTCCTAAATCTAGTCTTTATTTCTTAATGAAAGAAACAAACAAACAAAACAAAAAACATGTGGGATATTTTTGAACTTTTTTTTCTTGCAGATATGCTTCAGTTTGACTCACCAGAACTAAAGCGTGTTTAGAAATTTACTATTGCTAGGGTAAAGGAGAAACAGGATTCGTGGTGCAGATGTTTTAGACCATTGACATTATCCAACAAATTGTTCCTGATGACGCATGTTTTGGTAGCAGCTGCAAATGAAGCTGGCCTGGTTCCTGTTTCTACTTTCTGATACTGAAATGTGTTTCTATGCACATCCGGTTTGGCTTTACACCATCTGTTGTAGCATTTTTCGTTTAACTCACATAAACACTCTGCATCTTGACTGTTTTGCATACTGCAGTGTGGGTGCTAAAGTCATTGCTGAGCAGCTCTGCTGTGCTTCAGTGTCACACATGTGGGTTTTAAAACTAGCAGTCCTTCTCTACTTTTTCTATGCCGGGTTTAGGACAAGTGGGACACATTTTCTAATATAAATGGTAGAGAAGACATTTTATGTTAACCTCTATAAATAAATGAAAAGCATTTAAACTTACCAGCTACTTACTCTAAATAAAGCTGATATAGATGTAAACACAATTTCTGACAAAACAACCCCCCTAAATGGGTGAGTTTTTAAACTTTTATTCCCCAGAACATAACAAACCCTTAAACCTCAATTTCTTCAGAGCTGTATTGGACATTTATGCTGATACTGTTGTGTAAAAGTATTTTTTTCCATGCTGAATGTTGACCTGACTCATGCATCCCATATCTAACACGCAGCTTGAAGGATAGTTGCATAGTCTGATAAGGAGAAGGGGAAAGAGATCCATCTCTGTAAATAGTTGGGATTTTACATCAATATAACAGTAACCCATGATTCTTTTACAGCAGTTTTAATATTTGACTTATTCAAAATTATTACAGATTTGGTGTAAAGGTGTATCTGCATTCCTGCCTGCACTGTGTAAGATAAAGGACACACAATACTTTTTTTTATTAGCAAGAACAGACTAAAAATCTAACTTCCATTATGTTTGATTCTTTTACAGTGTTTATATTTAAAAACATATATAAAATGCTTAATGAATAACACATAATAAGCCTGGACTCACACACAAAAGGTATACATTCCTGTTGGGTGAGGCTTGCTTTTTATCTAATGCTGGGAATTTATCATCATGTCATGATCCTATCATGTCTTCAAAGGATCACAGCATTATCAAGTTGTATTTGTTTCTACCAGAGTTGTACATTTCCATAGCAGATAGGAGTAAATGAATGCTTCTGAAAACATCTGATCACTGAGGTGGAACTACACCTTAAAATATCTTATCTATTGCTTTAATTTTTTTTATAGATTTAAAATCCTGTTAATGTTTTTTTATTATTATTATCCTTTGACATTAGAGATCTTTAAGAAAATCTGCAAATCATAGTTGATGATTTCATGCTGTCCCTGAGTTGCAATGTCACTTTCTCCTTCAGTATGTTCCTCTAATACCAGCTTAATGTTTCAGCTTCTTTAAAAAGTTTAGCAAATTTGCTTTAACCTGCTGCTCTTTTTCTCCTTCTTCACCTCCATTCATCCTCCTCCTCCATCTCTCCATATTCTGTTGATTTGGTGCTTTCATTTAACATCATGGTCTGCATCGTAAATGATGTCTAATCTTCTGGGTTGCATGCCTTGTTTGCGTGAATGTGTGTGTGGGTATGTGTGTGCTGGTGGGTGGGTGCTTTAGAGTGGCCTAACTCCGCTGCATGTAGCCGCTCACTACGATAATCAGAGAGTGGCGCTGTTGTTACTGGATCAGGGATCTTCACCACATGCTGCCGCCAAGGTATCAGCACAGAAATACATAAAAGCTCACATTTCTAACTTTGCCTACATGTTTTAGGTTCTTTGTTCTTCAAATACACACTAATTTTTCTGCAGTTTGCTGTTTTTCGATGTTATTATGATCCAAAGTAATTTCCTCCCATCTCATCATTTTAAATTCTCTTTGCAGTCTAATTTTGTCCCTATGCTTTTTATCCCTTTTCTCCAACACTCACCATAGTGTTAAAGATCTGAGCTTCACTGTTGATGCAGCTTTTAAACTAGACAAACACATCTCTACAAATTATTGAATTGTGTGTTTTCTAATTGTCTCTAATTGAAAAAGGGTGATCCATACTTTCATTTTCTCATTTCAACTATTGTAGCACCTTATATCTCAGCTTAGATTAAAAATCTTTACATTACTAGCTAATTGACAGGTACGCAACAGCTCTTAAAGAAAATGAACACATATCTCTTGTTAAGGCTTCTCTCCGCTTATTTTAATCCGTTTTAGGATAGATTTTCATGTTCTACTGCTAATAAAGTCTTAGTTAAATCTGTTCTTTCATACTTATGTGATTTTCCACTATCTCTACTTCACTCAGCTGCATGTATTCTATTAGCATCCTTTCTTACATACTTTACAACCCAAATTGAAATTTAAAGGTGACCATGCCTTTGCAGGGATTTCTCCAAACTTTTGGAATAGTTTAACTTCTTATATGTAAACTGGTTTGCTTTACTGACTTACTTTGGTTGATTCTATTGTTTCTAATATTCAATATTAACATATAGTGTTTATAATCTAAGCAATGTTAACTTTGCATGACAATATTCATTGATTTACAAAGGTCACTTTCAGTGGCTTCTGTAATCTGTCGAAGGGAATGGTTGTCACATGTGTTGTTTTTGTTTTTTGTTTTTAAACCACTGCCGTGGAATCAATTTCCCCCGGGGGGATAACAAAATGTCTTGAACTTGAACTAATTATGAGCACTGGTAGAACCACTAAAAACAAGAGAAGCAAAAAATCACTTTGAGTCCAACTGCCAAGAGAAATGTTGAAATTTTGATTCCTATTTTAGCTTATTTCTTTTCTCTAACCTCTGTCATCCCTAAATGTAACTCTTTTCTCTTTCTTATTCTCTCGATAAAATGTTTTTTTGGGGATGGATTGGTGCTGTTTGGATTAATTTAAGTGATTCTGGCAAGTTGTTACTCAGTGTGTAGGCCAGTTGTTGCCCAGGGACTATCATAGAAATGTGAGCTGTAAATTATCTCAGTCAGACCATAAAATTCTATGCATGTGGGCCTTTTCTGTGCCTCAGATGAAAAAAAGCATTCGGGAATCTTATGAAATGTTTGCGCTTTTATTAAATCAACTAAATCTGAGTTGCTTAAAGAAGAAGGACAATTTTAGAAGATAATGTGTCTTTTGTTGTATATTTTATGTTATGAAGCAAGACAGTAACAGTCAAATTAGATGTTATCAAAATTTTTCAATGGTCGTAGATTCCTTTATCAGTCTTTCTTTATTTCTCTACCTCTACTTCAAACTGTTATCTCCCCCCTTTTCTATGGATTAAGAATTAATAGAAACTAGAATTAAGAATCTTCACATTTTCCCAGTAAAGACACACTTATCAGCCATATGAAATCCCTTGCAGTGCCCTGTGTATTCTGGGACTTTTTCAGCAGAACCAGTATTAGTTGGTTATTTTAGCCTTTGCAGCTTGTCTGTTGGATTCGACCGCATGGTTCAGAGTTTGTAGACAATGTGCACTTTTGATCAGAGATGCTCGATCTGATATTAATATCTCTATCGGTATTGATATTAAATAAAATTCTAGATCAAGTATCAGCAAAAATGGCTCTGATCCATAGTGGCAGATGTATCTATTTCTGTAATATGGTAATTAAAATTAGTTTTTTTTTAAATTCTTAAACAGCAGAAAGTCTTGCCCATTTTTTGGCATCTGTCTTTGATTCAATAAATTGTCAGTTTGAACCAGATGTTTTTTTTCAAGATTGAAAAACTTTGTCCTATTAGCTTTCAGACATACTAATCTCAAGTTGGCCTTTGGGATATAAATGTGTATATTCATGGATACCATACTTGCTTGTAGCGAAGCGTCGATGACAGCCTTGTAAAGAAAGAGGGATTATGTTTTCAGAGCTGGAATCACTTAAACTTTGATCTATTATTTGAGACCCGAACAGTTTATTTTCTAAAGTAAACAATGGTGAATAGAAACCATGACTTTGGTCCAGACAGTAGTTCAGACTGTGGATGCACATTAGATGTGCTTTTTAAGATGCTCTTACATTATTACCCAGTGATGTTTTCACACCTTGGGCTGTTAATGTCTCCGTTCATCTTTGCTGTTTCTTCTTTTTAGTGTCCAGAATCTAACCAATCAGTGGATGAATATCTTTATGTAGAAAATAAAAATAACTTTGCTCTTACATCTATGTTAAGCAGGGTCTGTCATTAGAACTACCCATCTTGTTTTTCAAAGTAAGAGCACTTCCTGTTGTGTTCATTCTTTAATCATGAATATTTAGTTTTTGTATAAAATCTGTGTTTGCTCTTTTCGCTCTAGGACAGCATTAAATTATCTTAATTTTATCATCGTCCATTGCTAAAAACATAGATTTTTTTCTCCCTCCAATGTTTATTTTATCAAATGTTTAGCTGTAAAGGCTGTCATTTTGAAACCAAACTGCCATCCATTTCTACCTTTAAAACAATGTTTTTTTTTTTCATTATAGGTTCACTTTGATCAGTAATGCATGGAAACAGTTTCTTGATTCTATCAGTCAGATCTAATGAAGAGTCCAGCACATTTTTTATAACTAGCATTTCCCTAATGATTCCTAGAATGGCTACACACCTCTCCACATCGCTGCCAAAAAGAACCAAATGGACATCGGGACCACACTGCTGGAGTACGGCGCGGACACCAACGCAATGACACGGCAGGGCATCACTCCAATTCATCTGGCAGCCCAGGAGGGCAGCGTGGACCTAGTGTCCCTTCTGCTGGCTAAGAATGCTAACGTCAATGTGTGCAATAAGGTGAAAACATCCCTGTTTTTAACATCCTTGTTTCAAACCCTTATTTAGCTCTTCAGCCCAATAATGTACCAATGTTTGTTCTTTAATCGAGGTCAAATCTTGTCAGAGGTCAAATCTAGAACAGATTTGTTTGTGTATTTCATGTGTTTATTTGCTCTGTTGTGTATGTTTACCTTCATCTAATACAGAGCGGACTCACGCCCCTGCACTTAGCAGCTCAGGAAGATAGAGTCAATGTTGCAGAAGTCCTTCTAAACCACGGTGCGGATGTTGACCCACAAACTAAGGTAAAGCTCTCAGAGCAAATTCTTCAAATGCACAAAAAATATATCATTTTGATTTTTTTAGTTTTTGTTAATTTATTCCTTCTTCTTTAACTGCTGTTCAATGATTTTTGAGATTTGACATTTTATATCAATAAAAAGGTCTTTATTGATGTTCCTGCACTGAAGCAAAGAAACACATTTTTATAATGAATCAGCTTGAATGTCTCCACTGAGACTGATCTGCTCCAGCTGAAGGTTATTTGCTGCGTGTTTGTGCGGACCTGACAGATGTTTATAACAGAAAGGTTCTTCTTTCTCTGATCTCTAAAACTGTGATGCTCATAGTCATAATTCAACAGACATGAAGCGGTTTTCGGTGTCATTTAAAGAGACAGCTCTAGCCTGTTTGTTTATATGAACATGTTTCCACATTCTTTTAAAAATATCATTCACCAAAAAAAAAAAGAAGATGAAGATCTTTGGAAGGTGTCCCGTTCCATTTCAATTCTTCTATTAATCGCCATTAGCTTACCTCCTTCCTCTCTGTTTATTGTCTTTTCTTTTCATGTTCTCCATCTACAGATCGGTTACACCCCGCTACATGTGGCTTGTCACTACGGCAATGCAAAGATGGTGAATTTCCTTTTGGAGAACCATGCCAAAGTCAATGCCAAAACAAAGGTAAACAAACCTTTGCAGTGATGTAGTCGCTCTTAATATAATTTAAATCCAGTTCATGTCCACAATGTAACCATTGTGTAAGAAAAAAATGCAAACCTTTCAACTAAGTTTTAGAAAAGAGAAACAGAAATTTTAATTCCTTTGTAATATTTTTTTTAAAAGAACATGGACAATCTAACAGTTTATTTAAGATTACACTACTCTACATTTCTGCTTATTGTTGACTGACTATTGACTTTTTAGCAAAAGGGAGCAACAAATAGGACAAAAAAAGCATGTTTGACAGAAATTTAACTGATAAAACTATAAAAATTATTTCAAGTATTTTTAAATGTAATTAATGTGTAAAATTAAGGTTAATTAACAATTATGTGGCTCTGTTTTTTTCTTGGCATTTTCATAAAAAAATGCATATTACATTCATGAAGAAAGACACTAGTTGTTAACTAAACTAGCATTGATCAAAGTATTTATTTTCAAATAAAACACTCAATGTTATAAGTTACTCAGCATATTAAACAAGTGTTTAGGCTTCTAATTATTTTATAGCAGAAGAAAAAGGTCGGAATATTGGTGTAAAGAACATCATGTATTGAACATTATAATAAGTTGTTAGTTATGTTAATAAAAAGAAGAAGAAAGTCTTCAGCATCCAGTTTAGACTCATAAGAGAGTCCAGAGAAGCTGCAGGGGGAATTATATAATTGTATAAATAGAATCATGTAATCACATCTTTAATATCACAGAGCCTGGTTTTGTTTGAAGAGAGAAACAAATTATTTTAAAACTAAGTTCATTTGACCGAAATCATCAACTTTGTTCTGTTGTTTAAAGTAGGCAGTTAAGCACAGTCTCTTTAGAGATTCAATGGTCAAAGTTCTGTGATTTACACACTACAGTGGAACGTATGAACATGGTCTTTGATTTCTTCTCCAATTCTTACTTATTGTGTGTCTTTCTCGGCCTAGAATGGCTACACTCCACTCCACCAAGCGGCTCAGCAGGGACACACCCACATCATCAACCTACTGCTTCAGCACGGAGCCTCAGCTAACGAGCTCACCGTGGTATGCACAACGAAAACACAGGCTAAAATATGGAATGTCTTCTCTGTTTTCTGAACCTTAAACACAGCCCTTTTTTGCCATTGTTTAGAATGGGAACACTGCCCTTTCCATTGCCCGTCGTCTGGGTTATATCTCTGTGGTGGACACTCTGAGGCCCATGACCGATGAAAATCTCTCAGCCATGGTCAGACAGTGTCTTCTTCAAAAGGGTTTTGTATTATAATGTAAAAAAATGTATAACTGTTGTAACTATATAAAGGCTTCAGAGTGTAATGAAATAATCAGCTTGATTTAACTCACTTGTTTAGTTGCAGACTTGTCTAGATTAAATGTGATCATTTATCCAGGAGCACAGTTCGTGCATTGAATGAACAAATATGGCAACATAAGCCATAAAGTCAATCTGCAAGCTCTGTCACATGTGGAAAGTTTCCCTGATTAGGAAACAGATAAAAGGCTTAAATTGAAGCGTATCACCACTGCGATATTAAAGATTAAAAAAACCTTGATAATGTGTCCGTGTATGGATGTATCAGCAGATGTGATAGTCTTTATCCAAAGACTTCTAACTATCTGAATTGTCACAATGTGTCTTTTTTGTACAGAGTCCATCAGAGAAACACAAAATCAACGTCCCAGAGACCATAAACGAGTTCCTGGACATGTCAGATGATGAAGGTATGTGATTGTTTGTAAATCAGCTATGACTGCTTTCTTTTGGTAGGGTGTTTGACCTTTGCATGTTTGAATATGTGTATCCAACTTACAGTTCAGGCTAATTCGCCACAAATTCTCAGAGAAGAGTCATGTTCTGATGTTAATAAAGGTATTACCGGTCGGTTTGAATCTGCCTCCTGCTTCTTGCCTTCTGTTTCTATAGAATTAGCAGACAAATGTAACCTTTAATCATTTTTGCTTATCTGCTATTTAGCTGTTTTGCCCATTTTATTGATCAAGAATTTATACTTAACTTAAGCAATGTGATTTGTTTGTTTTTCTGGGTGCAAAGCTCTATTAACCATGTGTGCTACTGCTGTGCAAAAAAGAAAAATTTTATTTTTGGTCTTTTATTCTATAATTTATACCATCTGCATTTTATTGAAGAAAATACCTTTGCAAAATAAAAGTACTGTCAAGTTTTACTCTCTAGCTCTGCAGGTTTTAGAAATTTAAAACTGGTTCTCTTTGTCAAATCTGTGAATTTAGTTTTTTTTTTTACTTTTATACTATTTTGCATTGGCATCAAAGCTTTTGGTCCGATATATCATCAATTCTTCAAAATATCTGCTGAATCTCCTACATGATTTATAGCCCACATTAATTATTGCTTCTTATGACTTTCTGCTTATTGTGACCTCTTTCTTGCCAGTCTTTTAATTAGGCTATGGATCTCCTCCTGACCTGTTTGCTGTGTTCTTTGGACAGGTTCACTAACATGTATCCAAATTGCACACAATGAGGCTGTATTTGACTGAGTAAGACAGTTATGAATGCAGTTGGTTGCATTGGACTTTGCTTAGGAAATTTGGTTTAAAAAAAGAGGTTAAACACAAATGCATCAGTCTTTTTTGATTCCTTTTTATGAAATGTTGAAAGACCAATACTTTTCTACCTTCTAACTTCACAGTTAAGTGTTATTTCATGTTGGTTTGTAACATAAAATCCTAATACAGTTCATTTATGTCTTTAGCTTTAATGAAACAGAATTTGGAACATTTTACAAAGTGAGCAAAAGGCACTATATGCAAGAAATAAAAACAAAAGGTGCGCAGTAGTGTTTTTTATCATTTACATGATAGGATATATAACAATTGCATTCTTGGCAGCATCAGAATATAGCTAGTCTAGTCCTTCAGAGCCAAGTATATAGAAATAGTCACATGTTTTTAAGCTACTACCTTCAGTCCCCTGCAGTTTGTTTTGGAACTTCTCAGCTAACACGCTTGTAAAATTGATGAGCTTGTTCACAGGCTGTTGCTTAGGGAACGGCCTAAAGGGGTTGGAGGGGGTGTTCTTTTTTTCAGGTGATACGGATATAGAATCAACAACCATATCAAGTGATGGTGGAATATTTTATTATTGAGCTGGAACATCACTATCACTGTGTTCCCGCCAGCATGGACAGATTGTAAATAAAGAGATCAACAGTCTCTTGCATTATATAAACTGTTTATATGCCCTGTGGTAGTGATAGTGGCCCAGTAGAATAAGGGTGTTGTATTCAGGACTGGCATCCCTCCTCACCCGAACGGTTTTCTCTCTGTAAAGCAGTGGGGGAAAGTTAAGACTTATCACAACTCTCTTTAATCCAATATGGGGAAATCCTAAATCCTATTATAGAGCAGGTTGAACTGGGACTAGTATGTGTTGCTGCTGGCTGTATTTGTGGATTTTTCTCACTTAAACTATTCTTTCAGATTTCTAATTAAGCTGCATATTTATAGGAAAAAAAATGTATTTCTTGTTACCTTCTGTTAAGAGTTTTTTGTTTGTTTGTTTGTTTGTTTCTTTCTTTTTTTTTTTTTTTTTTGGAAGATTTAGTCTGGTGCAGTATGCAGGGTTAACAAAAAAAGACATAGAGTTGTGTCTCAATATGTTCAAAGAAAGGCTGAAAAAAGCCTGCTGGGTTTTTCATCATTACTGAGCTTCCCCAGTTTGACAAGCAGCCAAACTTTCTCCCTGGTTTCCAGCATACAGAGCTTTCCTGTTCTTTATTTCCTCTGTCACTCTCTTCTCCAGTGAGATTCCCAGGCATTTGCTGAAATAAAATGTCAGCTGACTGTGTCTGCTCTCCACGGAGCTCTAAACACTTCCAGTGACGCTGCTCTGCTTGTGTTTGTTGTGGACGGAGAGTTTATCTCTCTTTCTCTCTCTCCCTCTCTCTCTAAATCCAATAAGATGAGCTTTCTTTCTCTGAGCCGCCTGAAGGGGAATTAGCTCATGTTGATCAGATGGCTTTTTGACATATGACATTCGCAAAGGCGAAAAAACCTCAGAGAATTTACATTTACTCTTTTCATTTCTCTGCTGAAAGGTGAAGGAAGGTATGGCGCGCGCCGGCGGCTAAAAACGCGCAGGTTTAGTCGGAGCGCAGTTTGGAGTTGAATGAACAGAGAGCGGAGCTTTTTTCTTTTGAGCCGCGCAGGAATGACTGATCGATGCAGGCTTTCATAAGAGTTTTTTTCTTAGTGGATTCTTTTTCATTTTTATTTGTTTCTAAGTTCTGGTAGGACCAAGACAAGTTTTAGAAAAAATAAATAAATAACAGAGCCCAGATCAACATGGCTGCTTTTGAAAAAGGTAAGTTGGTATTAACCATAAGAGCACGTTGAGTTAACATATCAGCCTAAAAAATTATAAGAATAATAGTGAAAGGAGCCAATATAAAACGCCACCTTGGTAGATATAACATTTTCATATACATTTGTCTATTTGTTGATTTCTTTATCCTTAAAGGAAACTGTGATGTGGATGAATTTATTAAGTTTTAGATGTGAGTTTGAATAGATAAGAGAGACTCTGCTTTAAAAAGAAGGGAATTGCTTGTTTGGTCAAGGCAGAAAAAGTGTATATTAAAGAACACACAGGAAGTTGTGTTTCACCACCTGAATATAGGCTAACTCCCTAAAAGGTGAACAGCCTGTCATATTTAATATTTTTGAAGTATTTTGGGAAACTGCAATGCATTATTTTTGTCTTGGTGTTTTTTCTATTAGAAACTGTGTGTTGTAATTTATTTATTGAATGAAAAAGTTTCATTCAAATCAGTTACTGCAATAATACTTTAAATTTTAGACATAATAATTACCAGTAGCTAACTGTTTCATTATCATCTATATTGTAAAAGCTAATTATTGAAAAATACAGTCTAAATTTCTCACCAGTGAACTATTAAGCCAATAGAGTTTCTAGTCAGCTGGCTTCACAGTGTGAGTTTACTGGCATGCAGGGCCAGCGCAAGCTGCCGTGGGGCCTTTAGAAAATTTGATTTTGGCCCCCTTTTCAATAATAACTGTAGCTGCAATCAGCTTTCTGATCAGTTCACTCACACACCTACTATAAACTCATGAAGCACTAGCAGTGCTGTTTAGAGTCCCCTATTTGTAACAAGCACCTACTTTTACTAAAAGTAATTAATTAAACTAATTTGTCCTTTTTTACAGTAGTACAGCAAGGTGCAGAAGGAGCCTTTTAGTGCAAGTATAGCAATAGGTATGTTAGCCTTGATAAACAAGGTGATACATTTATTTATACAAAAACAGAATAATTTAAACAATAAGAAATAGAATATCAAGCATGTTCCTAAATAATAAAAATAAAAGTAATCTTAAAGCCGGTAGACAATGAAATGAAATTTAAAACTGAAACATTTGCTCTACACAATACAAATATATTTAACTATTTGCAAAGTCTATCTATGAAAACATAATCTACCTAAATTAAACTGCCTAGTCCAGTCACTTAATAGTATCTGTGCTTCCCAGCTTTTCGATTCAGATCTCATTGATATTACTGTGAGAGATTTTACTGTCAACCATGTTGTTCATACTCATAACTACCAGGCCTCTGATAATCTTTATAGAAGCATGGAAAATCAAAAGTAGTTCTCTATTAATTTGAGCTTGAAAATGTTCAAAGTAATCCAACAGATACAACAGTCAAAAGGAGAGTGCAGGCCGCCAAAAGAGCTACCCATAGATTGAGGTAGAGCTCAGATCGTATATTGAGAGAAGTGAGTAAACGAGGTTATCTATCTTTTTGGAAGTTGTTCCATCTTTGAAACCAACACACTTCCTTAACTATCAGAGTATTCTTCAAAGATTAAGTTTGTCTGTAAGAACTACACTGGTCCTTCCTCATCTGTGTGTCAATTTGGTCCAAAGACCAATATGAGAAAGATTTCTGCATGATTATAGATGTATAGAGTTAGAAAATGCACTCTTTATAATGAAACTATAGCTACCTTTGGTTACTATACTCATATGGTAAGGACTATAAATAAAATAAAAAATCAATACAATTAGTTTTTCTTTGGGGCTCCCTAGTTGCCCTGGGGTCCTCAGCTGTTGTTTTGTTCCATCAAGAGCATCTACTCCATTTAAGGGCTCCGTGAAGTAAACTTTTGGCTCAAACATCTAAGGTTGAACTTTGCCACATTAACAGATTGCTTTGCTTCTTCTAATGCCCAGATGGACCTTAAAAAATGCCAGTGCCACTTTTGGATGTGCAATCCTCTTTAAATAATAAGAATGAAATCAAATAATCTTTAAAATAAAAAAGGCCAGTTATCTTTTTGTTTTTTTATTTTATTTTATAGCTTTCCTCCTTTTTTTTCTTTTTGTTTTTAATTCGGGCTCGTGTAAGTTTTTATTTTGAAATCCGGCACCGGAAGCGCTCCCGTTCGGCTCTCCCTCTACCTTGACTCGGGTTTGTGCGTCTGCTCGGAGTGCGGCAGTGCTGACGGCAGGAGTGGGAGGGGCTGCGGTGAAGGAGCACAGTGTTGCAGGCAGGACAGAGGCGGACATGAGGGAGAAGGGGAAACACTACAGCCGCTCCGGCGGCTTCATTGATCGGCGTGTCATCGTCCACCGCTCCGCTGATCGAGGTGCGATGCGCTCTTCAACTTCCCGCTGCGTGTTTGTTTTTGCGTCTTTTCTGTCTCCTGTGTTTTGAGTGCAGTGATGGGTACTGCGTTTGATTTTTATAGGACAGCAGCATATTTACCGCAAAGTTGCTTTACTGCTGCCTCTGATGATTTTTTCTATTAAATCATGTTTAACCTCTTAAAGAGCTGCAATAAATAGGGATTCAGGTCTATTGAAGTGGTTAAAATAAAAGTAGCAGTAGGCTGTACATCTGCAGTGATGCTATGCTTTAACGTCAGGGTTGCTTATAATTGCCCCAGGGCCTTAATAAATAATCGTATGAAATGAAGAGACTCATTATAACAACTAATCTGGTTTGTTTTCCTTTTCTGAGGTGCTGCATCATTTCCTTTTTTTTTTTTTCTGCTGTGTTTAATGCAGAATGGTTTGACTTGATCTCTCCTCCAGGTGAGGATGCCATGACCGGTGACACAGACAAATACCTGCGACCTCAGGACCTGAAGGAGCTTGGGGATGATTCTCTCCCCCAGGAGGGCTATATGGGCTTCAGCATAGGGGCCCGCTCCGCCAGGTAGGCACCTGCCATTTAAATCTATTTCATATACATCCAGCTGGATTATTGGGAGATTATTTATGCTCTGGTCACCTTCATTTTAGATTTTTGACTACTGCATAGTCCTTTAATGTACAAAACTGAGGTATGCTATAAAATATTTAGTTTTTTTATATAGATATTTGAATGCATGCAAAATATTAGAAATCTCCTCAAAGAGTCTGGAAAGTTGCCATCCAGTGATTCAACCTGAACCGATGATTCGGCATTTTGTGTGACCTCATTCAAACCTAGAGCAGAACCACAAAACAGCTCAAAGTGTTACACTGTATAGGTGGGAGCTGTATCTCTGAGCGAAGCGCCCGCATGAGTACACTCTCAAAGAGAAGACAAAAGGTTGTTGTGGAAAACTGGCAGACTGCAGGGAAAACCTATCAGAGGCTATTGTTTCTATAGTGACAGATGGCAGGTGGACTGTGATGGCTGGATTGATTAAAAAAAACAAGACAAAAAAGCTGAATTGTGACAGGAAGCTGCTAACATCAGCAGGGCCCTGCAAACCAGGGAAAACCCAGAATTAGATGGAAACATTCCATGTAAACATGTTTGTTTTAGAGGACAGTGATGGAAAAAGTTTTAGCAGAATCACTGAATGTCTCTGCCTTTTACATTTTAACAGGATTGTGAGAAGTGAAGGGATTTACCTTTATTATAATCATATACATTTTACTATGCTTGTCATTGTTGATATAAAAGATATCGCTTATCAGAGATTTGTGGTCATTTTCTTCTCTTATTGTTGCAAAGCTGTTACCATGATATTCCACTTTGATTCCAACTTTTCTCTCAGAAATGTTTTGCTAATTGATTAATCTGTCGATTCTTTTTCATTTAATATATCAATAATCAGATGGTTAAAGGTTTCTTAAAGGAGATTTTACACAGAATTCAAACCAAGTGAGTCTAAAACTGTTCAGTTTTAGGACTGTTTCAACCCTTTTGAAAATATTTCCGTCTTGTCTTCCTTCCAGGATAGGCTAATAACTATTGAGATAAAGAGGTGGTGCACTAGCATGTGTAAACATGAGTTAAAAGTTTGTTTTGCAATTATATAAGAAAGAAATATTAATTGCAGAGTTGAGTTTTAAACATTTTTAGTTTAGGAAATTGTAAGTTACTTTTCTCCCAAAAGACTTGTACTGGGAATTGGTAGAACTGATTATACTGAACAATGAGCATCTGATGATAAACGCAATTTTACATTTAACTCTGAAGCAATGGCATAATGACACAACAATAAGGAACATTATCTGGGTGGGCCCCATATGAAGTACAACACCAACTGCCCCTGTAGCTATGCAGTTAATAAGGAATTTATATAAAGTTGTGCTTGAAGTATTCAATTAGACAGAAATACTAAAACATTTGAATAAACAATTTTTACTTTTTAATCTACAAACATTTAAAATCTGAGGCAGCCATGTTGGATTTTGGACTTTTCTGCTTGGAAATCCTCTATGGGCTTTTTTTTTTTTTTTTTTTTTTTTTTCACTCTAACAAATATCCAAAACCCTTGTTGTACTGCTGTTTTAGAAAGTGTTATTTACTGAGCTTATTGTTTATTATGGAGGTACGTTTTCTAAAAATTTTGAAAGCTACCCCCTTAGATGATGTACAACCTTTATAGTTGTAATGGAGGATGTTCTTTTTTCGGTATCATCAAAATAAGTGGTCCTCTTAAATGTCAATCATTCTGGTGATATGTTATGTAAGGACGTCCAGAGTGCTCGTTCCCATTTTCACTTACCGGTGTCGAGTCTGACATAGTGGAAAAATTGCAAATCTTCTTTTGGAAAGTAAGCTTGTATGATCGATGCAAACAGTGACTTTTAAACACAGCTTGCACAAGGAGAAATGGACTCGTGCATGCCCTCCCACACATTTAATAGGAGTTCCCTCTCGGGAGTGGGTACAGGGTTGTGCATGTTCATTTATTTATCCTTTTAAGTGGAGAGGAGGGGTCTTTTCAAAAATTTGCAAAGATCCTCCACTATACCTTTCATTGTAAGAATTCCAAAAAGCAGTCAACATTTCCAAGCATTTTCCTTTACACATGGAAGTTGAAAGCTCAGAAGGATTAAAGAGAAGAAACTATGTAGTAACATATTTAGGTTGCACAATAATGCCTGAAATTGGTTCAGGGTTGTATTGTCCCTGTGTCAATTCATCAGAACTGTCCTCATGACAAACTGTCAGTCGGTAATAGATGACTCGTTTTTTATAATTAAAACATAAATTAAAAGAGAAGTAGAGATAACATAATAATTTCTCAGTTGGAGCAGCCTGAGAAAAAAGTTAGCCATCGTCTTTGGAAAAATGTGTCCTTTTAGATAGCTTCTTAAATTGTTTTCCTCAAAAAGTATATTTAAACCTGTCAGTGATACTAAAAATAGTTCACTTTGAGCGTCTTTACTCAGAAACAGCTTCCACTTTAAAGAATATTATTGGTATTATCTGTTAGTGCCTAATGTGAAACAGTTTTTTTCCTTTATGAATGGCCAATCAGCAGTCAGGGAAGGTCAAGCTCAAAATAGCCCCACATTTTTGACCAAACCATCTTTAGGTGCAACTCTGATAGTTTTTATAACTTTGCCATCTCTTTGCAAAGCAATTTGTGATCATGTGAAATTCTACAAAATGCATTCCTGCTGGACTAATGCTGTGCATATTTTACTCTGCAGCTGTTCAAATGTCTCTTTACAATAATGTGAATGTTGTAAAATATTTTAATTAATGTATTGATCTGTGTTTACATATGATGCTGAATTAGGTCTTTGCTTTCCCTTACCTTTCTGTTTATACATCAACATTGCATGGTTTTTGCTGGGCTGAATACACACATACACACACTCATCTAAACCCAGAAATAAAAATGTGCTTAATGTAGGGAAACCATGCAAAAGCACAGCATCAGTGCCCTATGTTTGAAGAAAAGTCATATCATGCCTAAATGTTTTCAAAATGCTTTGCTTTTCACTCTTCTATTTTGTTCTTCTCCTTGTTTTCCTGTCCCTCATTCCAGCCCTAGAATCAGGTAAGAAAAGGGTAGCAGTAGAGGAAGAAGTTAAAGCATAAGCTATGAATCGTTTCTCTCCCTCGTCCCTTCAGTCTTTTATGTATTAAACCCTCACCAAACACCACAAGTCATTCTGTTCCACGTTAGTGTCATCTTGTTGCCGTTTCCCTGTTCGTGGGAGTTGATATCTTACATTATTGTTGTTTGTTTGTTTGTGTCATTTTTTTATTTTAGCTGGTTAGCACGCATATCTTCTCAACAAATTCATTATTTGTGTATTTTGAATTAGAAAGTGAATTTGTTTTTTTTGGATTACTGGTGTGGAAAGAAAACAAACAAAGGAAGCACTTTGTGGTGTTTTCTGTTTTTGTTTATTTTAGAGATGCACCTAATCGAGAATATGGTGTCCGGTTTACGGTTTTGCATCATACTGACCCTTTCGATACCTACTTAGCTTATTTCTATTTTACTTCAGGTGACATAAATTAAAAATAAATATCCGACCATCATGGAAAGATATTTCTGCACATATATTCAACTTAAAAGGACTTTTATTTATCTCTTTATTTATTTGTTTTTTTTTAACCAAATAAATTTTAGCTAAACTATGACAGCAGTTTGCTTTACACAATTCTAGTAAGGTATGATGTCACTGATATTTTAAATAAGACAATATGATTTAGTGATTTTTTTCCTAAACCATTTTTGGCATCTAACAGCGGCGGTAAGCAAAGTTTGTGTGATTAGCATTCTAGCTGTCAGCATTATTCTTCATGTGCTTTTACTCCACTAGATCTTCTCCTTAACAGATATTTCTCCAATAATTGAAATATTTCCAAATCAAACTTCACCGATAGAACTAAATTCTTCAAATGGCTAAAAGAAATGAACTTTGATTTGTTTTGTTGAAGTTAAGTAGAGGTCTTAGTGAACAGCCCAAAAAAAGAGCTCTGTTTCTGTAAGCAGAACACCTTTGAATCTTTCATTTTTAAATATCTCACATTGCAAAAAATGTCGACAATATTTACTATTAGAAATAGAAAAAAAATGTTTTTTCCAGAATGTTAGCATACTCTACCAGACTCTAAAATGCGACACTACTAAGGCAATAACTTGGGCAATGTATAATGTATTTTACAATTTTTATTTGATGCCCTGTGCAATAACCTATTTCTTTATATTTGACATCCAGTGTAATAACTATATATATAAACTTAAATATCCATCTATATAAACACTCATGTAAACACCCTGTGCAATAACCCTGTATGATAATACTACTATTAAAAAGAAATGCTTTCATATGTGGACGCACTGTATATACTGTATATATCCCATGCACCTTTTTCTTCCCACATTCTTCTTTTCCTTTGACTATTTGAGCAGATGTAACGAGTACATTTCTCCACTGTGAGATCAATAAAGTCAATCAATCAGTTTGTGTTTTGGCTAAAAAAAAAAAATAATACCAATCAGCACTTATCAAGCTGAAAATCCCCCAAATCTGGTCACCATTGTTGTTCTCGGTGCATCTCTAGTTTATGTGTTTTCTTTTGTTTTCTTTTGTTTGTTTTTTTTTGTTGTCGAGATTAACTTCTTTAACCTTTCAATGGAGTGTCACCAAGTGTAACTTCCAGGGATTAAAACGTTCGGATTCTTCTACCCTGTCCGACTTGCGATCTTGTCAACATTTCAGTAATCAAGGTCCCTAAAGGATTATTCCAGATACAGCGATGGTTTGCAGAGATGGAAAGTGTGCATGGTCGCTGACAGACAAGGAGAGACACACCTGCAAATTTGACATATACATGGGTTCACAACGACTCAACAGTCAGCAGTTGTCTTTGAGTGTCCACACCCACTCCCACTGCAACTGAAAACCCCTGATTTATTCAGATGAGGAGAATTGGAGAACAGCATTTACAGAGTGGGTAATCACCACTAAAATAAATTGATTGGTGTGCCAAGAGGAAGTAGGGCAGCAGAAAAGAATGTGGAAAGAAAGAAGCTAGATTGAGAAAAAGCAGAAATGCCTTCTGTTAAACCGCCCGGTGCAATGTTTCCCAGCGCGCAGAATAAAGAAATACTGTTATGAAGAAATAGATAGTTGACAGACCATAAGATGAGAAAGAAACAAAGAGAAGTGAGGGGAGAGGGATGTGCAGAAGGAGGAAGCTGTGAAGAACAAACAAGGTCCTGGTTTGAACAGAAGAGGGGGGCGAGGTGGACGCCATGCCAGCGAGTCCATTCAGTCTGTACAGAGTTGCTTGGTTACTTTGACAGTGTAGGCCGTCTCTGCTGAATAAAGGCCTTCTCTCTCTGCTGAATAGTGTGCCCACTTAAACCCGCTGAGCTCTGCAATATCTCTCCACCCTCCCTCGTGTCCCGGCCGCTGACTCTCATGCACATAACGCATCTATACACACATACTACTTTATATCACAGACAACACAGCACTGTGACGTCAACCCTTCCTGTGGGTGTGAAAATTGTGTTTAATTCATTAATGCGTAATAACTTATAAAGCATAAAATAAAGAAATCCAATTTTAATTTTGCCTTGCAAAAGTATTCACACCCTGTTATGGTCTTTGACATAATAATGCCACAAATCTTAATATGTCTGATGTGGATTTTTATCTAAAAGACCAATTATGAAGTTATTTATGTTTTTTATTTGTATACAAATAAAAATCTCTGTGGTCTTGACTACATTTGTATTCACACATTGTATTCTGCTACCTCTGAATGCAATTCATATAAGTAAAAATTCAACTGTTACAAAGATTGTAGATGTAAATTAGTAAGCAAGCAGTGTTATGGAGAGCTAGGACCACAGAAGACAGGTCAGAGTTAAAGATGTGAAGTTTACGTTTTTGTAAATCAATATCCAAAGTATAGAAGTATCCAATCCATCATTCAACCATGGACACAGATAAGGAAACTGCAAACCTGCCAAGGCAGAATCACAAACTTAAACAGGGAGGCCGTGCAAGGAAAACATTAATCAGAGAGCTACCTACAATATTTAGCCATGTCCTCCACAAATCTAGCTTATGTAGACATGTGGCAAGAAGAAACTCATTTTTAAAAAGCCATAAAAAGTTTAATTTCAAGTTTTAAAATACATCAAATGAGAAATGACCAGATCTAAGTTGTAAAAAAAAAAAAAAAAAACTAAACATTTCTCCCTCCTCTAAATTATGCACTACCTTGTGTAAAGTATTGCCCATAAGCCCTAGTAAAATGACTATTGATGTTGAAGTGAAAGGACTTAAAAACATATTATGCAGCCAAACACATGTTCAACTTTGTGTGGCAAAGAGCTAGAGATAAATAAAAAGATGAAAGGAATCCACAGTACTGCATTGATGCTGCAGAAATAGCCACACACTACTGCACGCAGCAATAAAACAGACTGCAGCAAGATTGAGCAAAAAACATACCTCGCTTTTCCGAGACATGCCGAGAAATGCTGTTATTATAACGAAGCTAATGCTGTCGCTGACCTCAAAGCAGGTTTGACAGCTGAGATTAAGTTTTTTTTGCCCCTTGCACAAGTGTAAAAAGTCCCCTGCCAACTAATCTCTTGTATTTCATCATGTTTAGCTTAGATAAATCTGTCCTTATGATGCACACCCACCACACCTTCCTAGAGAAATATTTTCAGCTCTTTCACTTTCCTCTCTGCTCTGCCCACTTTCCCTATTTATCTCTTACAGCAAATAAACTGACCTCACTCTCATTTCCATCTCTGAACAACCTGCTACAGTATCTCTTCCTCCTTTAACTGCGGGCTCTTCTGCCTCTCTACATTTTCCCCTTGGCAACTGGACTCTTCTTTTGTCCAGTAACTAAATTCTGGTTCCCTGGAGGTTGCATATTGTAATGGAGTTTTTGCTTTTTGTTTTGTGCCCTGTCCCTCTGCCCGTCACTTGTTGTTGCCCGTGGCGCTGGATTGCATGGTAACATGTAGCCTCCACTCATTCAGTTCGGATAGGTCCAACACTCTCAACCGGAGCTCCTTTGCCAGAGACAGCATGATGATTGAGGAGATTCTGGCCCCCCCAAAAGATCCGGTAAGGCAAATGTTTTCTTTTCTTTGATATCATCCTCTATTATTTGACTTTCTTTGGCATTCATACATCTATCGTTTGATAGTTGCTTGTCAACATCTGACTATTTTCACAACTTTTGTGCTTTCTTTGTTTTCCTCTATGTTTAACACAAAGCACAGGTTGTAAAAGTTAAAGTAGCTAGCCTCTGTTGGTTACACTGGCAGATGCACTGTTAAGGCTAAGCATGTAATGGTGGTGAGAGTTTGCACATATAATCCTTTCAAAAAAAGAGTTTCTTAAACCTAAAGATTTCAGTCAAGCTATTTTCTTCCATCTAATCTGGATTCACTCATTTTATGATATTATATTTGATTTTTTTGTTTTAACCACTTTTCATAGTACTATTCTCTGATGTCATACAATAAGTGACGGTCAGATCTAATGTGATCTCATTTTTCAATAAATATAAATGTGTGTTTTTTTTTTCATAAATTCTTAATCAAAACTAACATCAATAAGTTTGTTTACCTGGGCTACACATGCTCCCAAGTAAAAGCTTTAAAAAATGTTTTTAATCTTCCCTAAGCTTCAGACTGTCTGTAAAGACATTTTCTACCTGGTCGACCCACATAACAAGGTATTCGGCATGGAAGATTTCAGGCATATTCTTTAGCTTTTTGATTTTGTTTTATGTGGGTGAGATTCATGGTTGCTTTTTTTTTTTATCTATATACTTTTACTTTAATTTATTTGTTGTGAGTTCATGTCATTGCTGTTGTAACTGTTTCTGCCTTCTTCCTCTCCCTTCACATCTTTTCATTGATTCACATGGTCCTTTTTATGATGTTTGAACAAGGCTCCCTTAATGTCTTATTTTTTCTCTCCATTAAATTGTAGTCCTTAGTTTTGGCTATGCTTGCTGCAGTTTACTGTAGCATATTTCTTTCTATGCAAAGAAGTCATGGGACCATGTTGACAAGGGAGCTTTAAATGTACCATTCTGGCTCGTGCTGACCGTTTTGGCTCTTCGGCATACTTATCTATTTTCTGGTGTTTGTCCCAGACTTTCTTAACTATGAAAAGGAAAGGGCTGCCATCAGCCATTTAAACCCAGCCAGGAGTCAAGTCATTGTGGACGTTTCACACCCATTTTGACTATAGATGGGAAGGATTTACTGATACTTTATAAAACGAAATACAGGTGGGCTCTATATTTGGTCTGGTGACTAGATTACAGTAAAGGGGAAGGGTGTTCAAAGTGACCTCATTTGTCCCTCAGAATAATCTTTTGTTGTTGGTGTATCACATATCCCTACAGCCTAACCTTGATCCTTACCCTAAATTTAACTAGTACAGGTTAATACCTAAGCCTAACCCCTACATCAACTGACACCTGAGCCCTAAATGTTATCCCTGACGCACAAACAGCAATTCCCCCGTGGGGTTTAGGCATCAGGCCCCACAAGGAGCAGTCAGTCCTCACAATGTGCTGCCTTCTCAGAAAATGGGCCCCACAATGTATTAAAAACAAGAACACACATTCACACACAATATACCAACTATCGACCAATATCCTGCCTCTTCACAACGTGGAAGCACCTGTCAGGCACCATAGTGGCTAAGATAAGCAGGTATAAGGATCATGACAGAGGTACAGAACGGTAAAAACATTAGAGGAGCCAGACACCGCTGCAGGTTTACAGAACAGTCACCTGTGTCTGCAAAAGCAGACAAACAAACCTGTGCACTGCCTGGGTTGATTGCAAGAAAGCCAATGAATGACTCAATGCCACACATGAATCCTGGATTGCCTGAAGCTCTACAAGGTCAACAATCTGAGAGCCTTCATTGCAAACTACATGAGGCGGTAGAAAAACACCCTTGAGGCCAATATTAAGACAATTAATCAAATTTTATTAAATGTGGAATAAAGCAAGGATTCAGTCCGAGTTTTATGACATGGCCTGTGCCATTAGAGTATGGTTACTTGATCATAAAGGGACGAAGCGTAGGATTAGGAGTAGACTGTGGCTTTGACTATATAGTAGGTACTAACACCATTTCCCTACCACCAGTCCTGATACAAGGCAGGATTGATCCATGCTTTCATGTTGTTGGTACCAAATTCTGACTCTACCATTCAAATTTCACAGCAGAAATCAAGATTCATCAGACCAGGCAATGTTTTCCCGATTTTTTTATTGTCCAACTTTGGTGAGCCTGTGCCAAGTGTAGCCTCAGTTTCCTGTCCTTATCTAACAGGAGTGACATCAGAGTTTGACATGTTATGCAGAGATGCTCTTTTACATACCTCGTTTGTAATTTGTTATTGTTGTAATTTGTTACTTTTGCCTTTCTTTTAGCTCGAACCAGTCTGGCTACTCTTCCCTGAGCTCTGGCATCAACTAGGCATTTGCACTTACAAAACTGTTGCTCACTGGATACTTTCTCTTTTTCGGACCCTTTTCTGTAAACCCTAGAGATGGCTGTGGATGAAAATCCCAGTAGATCAGCAGTGTGTGAAATACTTAGCCCAGCCTGTCTGGCATCAACAACCATGCCCCATTCAAAGGCCCCTAAATCACCTTCCTTAACAATTCTAATGCTCCACTACATGCTTAACTGCATTGAGTTGCTGCCATGGGATTATCTGATTATAATTTTGCATTAACAAGCAGTTGGACAGGTATACCTAATGAAGTGGCAGGGTTTTTAGGACATTTTCTATATAAATGATTTCACAATGCAGTCCTATCGACACAAAAAGCATTTCTTAAAGTAATTATTTACTCTTTCTTTAAAAAATATTATATTTTCTTTATGAAATATAAGTACTTCCTCGAGTTTGGGTTTTCTAAAATATCTGACAGTGCCTCTTTAGGTGATTTCTTGTTAAATTTAAATGTTAAAACTTGTTGACTGCTGCAAATGAGACATAGCAGTATACTAGTAGTGAAAACACCTATGGCAAGGATACGCTGGCTAGGCACTCTGTATTTTTGGATATATCCATATATCCAAACTCTGAACTGAGCTGATTAGATACATAGGTAGAAATTGGTCTCCGTAGAAACAAGCAACTGGTGGTAATGAAATAAGATAGTAATTGTCTCAGGGCTCATATTAACTGAGAGTAATTTATACTACGCAGGAAACTAGGGGTTATGAAAATGGAAGCAAAGTGGATTTCTGTCCATCCTCTGACTGTTATCTCTTTTTTTATGTTGGTCCTTTATTCCACTCTGTTCAACCGTGCTCCCACTGCCTGATAATTCTCATTTCCACCCTGTTTATTTGGTTTTCTTTTATCTCTGTTCTCTTTTTCCATCATTATCTCCCCTTTTTTTTCTCCTATTCTTCTCCAGCACCTCGCCGTGACCGGGGACTATAGTTCAGACTGTATGCGCCGCTACAGCTGGACTCCGGACACTGTGGACCACAGTCACAACACTGCTTCCAGCCCTATTCACTCTGGGTAAGAGCATTGCCTCATCCTGTCTCCAGACATATGTTTGCTCACACCTTTAAAGATGCATGAAAATAACCACACAAAAAAAACTCATATTCAGCAAATCCACCAAAACCTATACAGACAGCATTGTTGCTACTACAGACATTATTTTGTAATAGCTACTTTAAAAAAAATAATTCATCCCCTAAAGCTAACCCCACATCTAGATATGCTCCAGATGTAGATCCTTACCCGCTGACATTCTATTTTAATCATTAGTCAAATAAAACTACATGCTCTACATGAGCTCATCCTCCATTAGCCTAATGTGTGTCATTTGGATACACTGATAAAGTTCTGCTTTCATGTCCTGCTCCCACTTTGAATATATGACAGGTGCTAAGGACTGTTTTAAACAATCAGCACTGTGTTTGCACAGATATTCGCTGCTCTTATTTATAGATTAAATACGGGGATGTTTCATGTCCAACTTTGGTTCTATTTTTGTCTGGTAAGTTAGTAGGTGTTGAAGTTATGCCATTCATTGTCATTTTTTTCACAGTGTGTGCTATTTAAGTGTTTCCAGTCTACCACTTTCTTGTTTTAAGCCGTCTTTCATCCTCAGTGCCCATTGCAGATCCAAACAGACATTTTGATTCTTTGATACTAAAATTGCATTCTGGCGGGGGGGGATTGGTTGCCTCCTGCATTGTCCCCATGTGTTTACTTTGCAGCTGCTCGTCCCCGTTCGCTCAGTATGACCCAAGGTGACGACTGAGTTTGCTGCTCACAGCCATGATGTCACAGTGATGTCACTCACTCCTCCATTTCTCATCCTCATTATTTTTTTCCCCCCTCTCTGTCCAATCTGTGCCCGTCGCATCCATGTGGTTTGGTGTTTCATTTGCAATGCCGAGGTAGTAAATGTGTGTTGGGAGTCCTTATTTTCTGTGCAACGACTCTCTCCCAGTGCATGTCCGAAATATAAACTAAAAACATAACTTTCAGGGGTCCTGCTGCGGTACATACTCCTTCAATCTTTTCAAGTTTTGTCATCGTAGAACTTCAAACCACAAAGTATTTGATTTCATTATTTTGTGATAGATCAGCACAGATTATGATAAAACTTAATGAAAGAAGGAAAATTCATTTGAAGGATATGTTGACCACATTTTGCTGTTCATATGTTAGCTAGCTAGACTAATTTTATTTGCAAACTAATTGCTTTTCAGTCAGCTTGGGTAAGGAGTGTCTGAGGTCGATTCTGAAATCCCTCCGTAGCATGACGCTGCCATCACCGTGTTCCCCCACAGATGACCTCTGCTTTGTGCTGAACTATCACATAAAACCTCAATAACATACACTGAGGTTTGTGGATGAAATGTGAATATGGGAAAAAGTTTAAGAGATGTGAATACTTTTTCTGAGACACTATAACAAAGTATTTTAGACTCGTATTTACACTTAAACAACACGTCATCCATTCTCATATTCTTATTCTAGGGTGCCATTAAAAGCTCATTATTATACACATAGGATGCATATCTTCTGAGCATTGATACCCTGATCTTTGTGAAAAATTTGTGAAAACTGTTAAATATCTGACCACTAAATGCTGCTGTTGAGGGACTGGCTCTTTGACATCCATCTCATCTTCAACCAAAGAGCTGGAAAAATTGAGCTTTCAGCACATAATTTCAGACGATGTCCGATGTAGGAAAGAAGAAGGTTGATGGTGAGAACTGTCAAGCTTCAGAGCTCAAAGCATCTTTTTACTTCTGTTATTCTTTCTCTCTGTCTATTTTGGTTCATTTCTACCTTTCCCTTTACTCGGGTGTCCGGTGATCACAGCATGGGAACCGTTCTCCTCTCCGTGTGTCTGTCCATCCATGTCTGTCCTTGTTTTCTAGCATTCTCCATTTTTTGAATTGGCCTCCATTCGTCTTGCAGGTTCTTGGTCAGCTTCATGGTGGATGCTCGTGGTGGTTCAATGAGAGGAAGCCGTCACAATGGGATGCGCATCATCATTCCTCCCAGGAATTGCACGGCACCTACGCGCATCACCTGTCGCTTAGCTAAAAGGCACAAACTGGCCTATCCTCCGCCTATGGTGGAGGGAGAGGGGCTGGTCAGTCGATTAATTGAGGTCGGACCTGCTGGTGCTCAGTTTCTTGGGTAGGCAACATTCAATACCATGACTCATCTACATGTCTGGAATTGCTTGAACAGATATATAACAACTGTAATGTTCTGTTTCCTGTCTTAGACCTGTTATTGTGGAAATCCCTCATTTTGGTTCAATGAGAGGGAAAGAAAGGGAGCTGATTGTGTTAAGGAGTGATAACGGGGACACTTGGAAGGAACACCAGTTTGACACTAGGCCAGAAGACCTCACGGAACTGCTCGCTGGGATGGATGAAGGTAAAGAAAATATTTTCCAAAATCTGAGGGTAAACTGAATCAAAGTGAAAAAAAATCTCATCACATCTCATGTGTGTGTGTGTGTGTGTGTGTGTGTGTGTGTGTGTGTTTTTCATTTAGTTTACAGCAGATTTTCTGTCCAGTAGCACATTAAATCCCAGCTTTTTTCAGTTATATCTGAACCCAGATCCTGTGATTTTAACCTGCTGTCTACTGTCATCTCCAAAACTTGATGAGATGTGCCAGTCTGTTTTTGAAAGTCACAGACTATTTACATGTGCATTGCTCGGAAACTTCACCATGGAAATAAAACTGTGTTGTTGTTTTTTTTTACCCTTAATAATGTAATAAAAGCTGCTGCTCCTGTAAGGTGCTTACACCAACCGTCTCTTTTTTAGAGAGCCTGCTGAAATTTGTAATGTTCAAAGCAAATCAATTATTTTGAACAGCCCCCAAAATATAGTATTGCAAACCAAATTATCAACAAGTTGTTTCAAGATAGAAAGTTAAAATGTTAGAATTAGCCTAGTACTTAATCAAAACACTCCACAATAGTGGAAACACCAATATTAGAAGACATGAAATAATTTTGTTGGAAAATCAGACTTGTGTTCTTTAGATTACTAACCCTATGATGGGGCTCCCTGTTAACAACACATTTTCATTGCTTCAACCAGGGACAAATTCTGATTTTGTCAAATTTATTTATTTTCTTTATAAATCCCTCCTGCCTTAGCAGCTCACATTATCAGATATTTCATATTTGCAACAAAAAAACGGAAGTTATAATGATCTGTTAAACATGTCCCTGCCACCGATAAGGAGAGAGATATTCTGCTGGGTTATATTGTTGGACCTCAGCGGACTGGTGAACCGGAACCAGTAACTCTAAATGAAAGATCACTATGATCAGTTCAGGGACCTTGGGAAAAAAAGACTGAGGATTGTATTTTGCTGGAGAGGCACTCACGCTTTGGGGGGCTCTTGGTTATTCCTTGGATCCAATTTGTGGGGTTTAATCAAGAGAAGAAGGAACTCGTTGGAGAGCGGACAGGCAGACTAATGTTGGACCCAGAGGAGTAAAGGAGCGGACTGTCACCTGGCTTTCCAGAAGTGGACTTGAACGGATCATGTGGAGGCTTCCCCTTGTTCAATGTGACTCAGATAATCCTTCCAGGGGGATAGAAGGTCCAGGCTTATCCAGTGTTTCAGGAAGGCTTCCTGCCGAAGAACAAAGACAAAACAAGCTTAGACTCAGAGAGACAAGACTAAGGTTAGACTCGGCTGATCTCAGTATGGCTAGAGTACCCAATACTGGCAAACACTCTGGCGTTGAGGTAGTGACAGCCCGCTGCTCAAATACTCCTCTGGTAATGGCCCAAGGAGCCGCAGGTGTGCAAGGAGGCTCAACGAGGAAAGGGCCCCATCTGGTGGTGGAGAGAAGAGAAACACAAAAACAACCCACACAAACTGTAATCCTAACAATAAGCTCATTTTAAAGAGTTGAATGTACAAAACTCTTACAGAAATTCAATAGATTATCTCATCAAAAAACTCTGAGCAGACTGTGCAGATATAAGGAAAATCACTTTTTAAAAGATGTGAAAGTAACTGAACTCTGTTATGTTCTAACTCTCTAATATTCCTTTCTTTAGTCAAATTTAGCCTTTAACAATTACAATTGTGAGCCTTGATATAACGTGTTGTAATTTGGCGCTATATAAATAAACGGAATTGAATTGCACTGAATTAAAATTGTAGCAATTGTTTATTGCATCCTAAACTAGTATGCAATAAGTTTTATTTTTGTCCAACAGAGATGGACAGTCCCGAGGAGTTGGAGAAGAAGCGCATCTGCCGCATCATCACAAGGGATTTTCCGCAGTATTTTGCTGTGGTGTCCAGGATCAAGCAAGAGTCCAATCACATGGGTCCTGACGGAGGCGTCCTCTCCTGCAGCACGGTGCAGATGGTCGAAGCCTCGTTTCCACAGGGAGCTCTAACCAAGAGGATCCGTGTGGGTCTGCAGGTATACAAAGACCCCTCTTATTATCTTAAATGTAATGTTTGCAGATAATGTTCTCTTATATAAATATTTGACCTATTTTTGTCAAACATTGAATCCTACCCAATTAGCCTGTCACCTTTAATTCTGAGTATTCTAAGTAGCTCTGTTGTTAATGCTGCATCCCAAGAATTAAGACCTCATTATTTTGGTATTTCTGTTTCTGTGCAGGCTCAGCCAGTGCCAGATGAGTTAGTTAGGGCGGTCCTTGGAAACAGAGCAACCTTCAGCCCCATCGTCACCGTTGAGCCTAGAAGGAGAAAGTTTCACAAGCCGATCACTATGACGATCCCAGTCCCTCCCCGATCGGCAGAAGGTCATCCTAGTGGCCAGCGAGGCGAGTCTGCGCCATGCCTGCGCTTGCTCTGCAGCATCACAGGCAAGTCGACATGTAGACAATTAGAACATGGTCCATCTGCTGCTGGGGCAATTCGAACAAAAAGGAAAGGCTTTTCTCGAAGGCAAATGAGCTCATCTAATGGCCCCATTTCACACAGGAGGGACGTCTCCTGCACAGTGGGAGGACATCACAGGAACCACACCGCTGTCCTTTGTAACTGACTGTGTCTCCTTCACCACAAATGTATCGGCCAGGTGAGATAAACTCCTGTTTAGTTTTTTTATCCAATGGTTTGATTATTTATAGAAGTAAGACTTTTCTTTTAAACTATATAAAAATGTGCTTTACGGTTAATAAAGGTAATTAATACATTTTTTTAAAATTTGTTGGAAATGTGAATTCATGTAGCATAGGACAGACTTGTAAATAAGTATCCATTTTCATTTTTATTTATCTGAAGTTTAAAGTCTATGACTGATCATCAGTAATATGCAGTCATTTAAGTTTATTTAAGATGTTTTTATGATTTACTTAAATTTAACAATTGCTTATATAATGCGTTAAGAGCTTGCTCAAAGTTTCTATTCAAACAAACTTCAATAAAAAAAAAAACACAAAGTAAATAGATGATACAAAAAATGTGAATAAATCAAAATTTTATTTGACCTTTTTTCTGACTTTTGTCTCCACTAATCAGAAGCTCAGTTTCCATCAAGCTCTAATCAGTAGAATCTCTGTTTGTTTAATATGATTGTTTTTATATTTTTTGCAACCCTTTAAGGAAGACTATTATACCTTTCCTTTAGGCATTCTGATGAACTGATCTGTGTTGTACTTTCTTGGTCACACAATGCAAAGTCATAAACCCTCATCCCTGCCTGGTTTTGAATAATGTGGTAAATGTGCAGCCTGGTTTTATCTCCCACTTTAGTAACTCTCCAATTATTTTGCTACACAGCTTCCATATGTCTGTGGTCTTCTCTTTAAAACCAGCTCTAACTAATGAAAGTTCCTTGAACTTAAAACAGGAAGTTAATGTTGTTTCCTTTCTACCCACTCCTTAGGTTCTGGCTTGCAGACTGTCACCAGATTCCTGAGACGGTAAGTCTAGCGTCTCAGTTATACCGGGAGCTGATCTGCGTGCCATACCTGGCCAAGTTTGTGGTGTTTGCAAAAATGAATGACACTGTGGAGGCCCGGCTGCGCTGCTTCTGCATGACCGACGACAAGGTGGACAAGACCTTAGAGCAGCAGGAAAACTTTGAGGAAGTGGCACGCAGCAAAGACATTGAGGTAAGGTTATGCTCTTTTAGATATACGAGTATATAAATATTGTAACTTAGAAAAAAAAAAAAACTTCCTGATACTTAATGCGACCTAATATCAGCTTTTTTTTCTAGCTTTGATATATGTTACATGTACATTTCAGGTTCTTGAGGGAAAACCCATCTATGTGGATTGCTATGGCAACCTTTCACCTCTCACCAAAAGCGGGCAGCAGTTGGTTTTTAACTTCTACTCTTTCAAGGAAAACAGACTTCCTTTCAATGTGAAGGTAGAAAATGCATTCCACTTATTACATTTTACTTTTGTTCAAAGTTTTTGGTGTCATGGCTGGAATTAATAACAGCAGAAGGGTTTCTGTGCAGCATATATGATGTAGTGCAAATTGTTAAACCAATTTCATTCAATTAAGTGTTTTTATACAGCGCCAATTTATACCACATTATCTCTAGGCACTTTACAGAGACAATGCTGTCAGATTGATTAGAATTTTCGGTTGCATTCAGCAATCCCTCACAACAAGCATGCATATAGTGACAGTGGAGAGGAAGAAACCTCTAGCAGAACCAGGCTCAGTGTGAGCGGCCATCTGCCGATGCGTCTATGGTTTAAGGAGACAGAAGCAGATGTAGAAAAGGAAGATACAAAAGATAACTGTAAACGTGCTCCATAGGTTGCCCCATCCAGGAAACACACAGCCAGGCAGAGGAGCTCTGAGCCAGCTTCAGTGTCAGAGGATGAAAGAGAGCACATACAGTTAGTCACAGTCTGAGAAACAGGACTACACTGAAAAACAGGCAAAACTCGAACATCTATAAACAGAGGTGTATATTTCAGCAGCACAGATGATATTTCTCTCCACGATGGTGTCACAGCCAAACAGGAACAGACAAGATGAAGCTAGTATGATGAGAAAAAGCAGAGAGAGCATAAAGTTATGAGTGGAACTTCACAAATATTATAGAATGGGAGATTAGAGATATAACGAAGCAGAATGAGGTAAATATGTCCTTATGTGATCCAGCAGCCTAAACATATAGCAGCACAAATACAGAAAACAGCATAACCTTACTATTTTGATAACATACAAAAAAGGTCAGCTGCAGTTATGCTCAGCTGGTTAGCATGTTTTACTTTGGCGTTAATGTCAAAATAGGGTACAAACTTTTGACATCTATCTCAACAAGGTCATATACAAAGCCTTGTCTCTGACAATAACAGCTTCTATGTAATTGAGTAGGTTTCAGTCACAGAGGAAAATGAGAAAAGCCAATTTAACCCTTAATTCCTTTTATAGTATGTGGAATCAGGTTAGAGCAGTCTTTTCTGTGTTTTTCAACCCTCCAAAGGTTCGAGATGTAGGCCAGGAGCCCTGTGGCCGCCTCTCCTTCCTGAGAGAACCCAAAACTGCTAAAGGCCTTCCACAGACTGCCATATGCAATTTGAATATCACACTGCCGACTCACAAGAAGGTAGGATTACTATATTTGTACTTTTCATCCTGTTACACCATATCATATCATCTAAATGTAAATGATGTTCCCAGGTAGAGAACCTCTGAAGCTGAATCAGTCCACACTTGACTGCCTGCTGCTTGTTTTTTAAATAATGGTCAAGCCTGTGCCAGTCATAAGACCCCACAACGTAGACACTAAAGAACACATGCACACTGTGCTATGATCTGTTGCCTGGCTCAGTGTGGGCATTCAAAAATAATGCAAAAACATCTAGATGTTTTTTGTGGCATTTATTGATCTCAATAAACTGTATCTATTTTGCTTATGCTTTTTTTGTTTTGCTGTTTGTTTTGTTTATTAATCCCATAGATTTTTTCAGATGCCTTTTGTTGTTTTTGCTGCTCCATTTTCATCCCCTGAGTTTTATTTCTGCCTCCCACCCCCACCCGCTCTCTATAACTTCCCTGCTGTCCATTGTGTCATCTCTCCTCTCCTCTCCCGCAATGCACCTTGGAATACCACAGGATATGGAGTCTGACCCTGATGATGAGGTAAACATATTCTTCATCATCACATGAAACTGCTTCTTCTTGGTCATTCTTTCTCTTGCCTTTGTTGCAGAATCTGGAAAAAAAAAATAAGTGTGCTTCAGATAGTTTGTGTCTGTGCAGTTGCCTGAGCCTGTCAGATGCTGCTTACTGCGTGTTTTATATATTTTTTATTATTGTTCTAGGAATGTTTATAAAATGATCTTATGCACTGCATGTAATACAATTGCAATCATTTTTGTTTAGCCAATATTTCTTTTTTGTCTGCATCCCAAGTCCAAATGAACCAGATTTTGTCCCATATTTGGCTTTTTTTTCACCCCTTTTCCTTCACATACACCTGCAACTGGGCCTCATTATTCTGACTAACTCCTCCTTGATACAATGTTAAAGATGAAACAGTAATTAGTGATATTAGTCCACTTCTTTTTAACTTTCATTAGGATTGTTTGTAGTTTTAGACCTTGGTGTTTATGTTTAGTAGATTTTCATTCAAAGGGGTGGCTAGAATAGAAGATAAAGTCCCCTTTTATTATAAAAAAAGTTGTTTCATGAAGCTAAAGAAGAAAAACAAGTAACTACTAAGATATATGCATCTGCACAATTTAAATTCAATGTTCAAAAATACTTCAATGAATCTCAAAGGGAAATAAAATATTGCAGTAACTCAGGTTATTTTTTATCCAGGTGTTGATAGCTGTAGCCAGGTAGGATCTGCTGTATCATTTTGTCTTTCACCGGATATAACGCCTCTGACCGAAGTAACTTTATTTTTGTTTTAAAATGTTCTGAAGGGGATTGTCACTGTTGTCCATAATCTTCTTCACTTTAGGAAGAATTCTTCTTTGTAAAATAAGAGTTTAGAGAAGCAATAGACACATAAAACATAAAACTCTATAAAATCTATTGTTCTTACCCCAAATTGCTTGTTTCTGAACTTCCTTGTTCTTTCAAATGTTATTTATTTATGCAGTAAATATGATGGTTAATGCATTCACTTTTAACTACTGAATCAAATTAAAGCCCAGCAGTAATGGGTTTATGTTTGTGTTTTTGTGATTAAAAAAATTTATGACAATTATGCACCATATGAGTATAAAGAAATTCACTATGACTTGTAAATTGACTTCACCTGCTTCCTAAATTGATTGCTTATGAACAGAAGGAAAATTGTTGTGACCAGTACAGTCTCTCCTTTACTGCAAAACTCATTGCAAGTGTTACAATTTAGAGGTTTTTGACAAGTCCTAGGTTTAAATTAAAAGTATCTTCAGCAACTCATGGGGTCCTTGCACGGCCTTTCCACCAATCAGAGGTTCTTGGGCTAAAATGGATTGAAAACCCCTGACTTGGACTGTTGGGGGGGGGACTCTTTAAATTACATTTTCATAGAGGTAATACTTGTAAAAATCTTTATTTCATCCATGGAAATCAAAGGGCTCTAGTTATTTAAGAAACAACATGTCTTTGCTTTGTTCTTTTTATGCTTTAAAATCTACTATTACGTACAGTATCTCCCACCAATAACAAATCTGTAGGATTATATTGTAGTTTAACTGGCCAAAAAAATATTACCAATGAAATAAGATAGCTAGTTTATTGTAAAAAAATAAAAAATAAAAAACACTAAATTGACACATTACTATCTACTTTAATCTAACCATGTCATATTAGTTACACTTGACTGTTTTTTGTTGTTGTATTGTTTTTTCAAGACCAGGGCATTTCATTGATTAAAAATGTGCAGCAAAAGTGTTCATTACTTACGATAATGTACTGTAAACCTGCAATACCTTTAGTGTCACTAAACATATGTGTTACATCCCTAAGAACAGGACTATATATTTAGTTTAAGTTAAACTATTATTTTAAATTTGATAGATTAGAACTAGATTAAGTTTATGTTTATGTTACAGCACCTTTTGTTCTTTTGTTATTTGTTTCAGACTGAAAAGCCAGAACGACGTCATACCTTTGCCTCCTTAGCTTTGCGTAAGCGCTACAGCTATTTGACTGACCCAGCAGCGAGTGAGTTTCTGGTTTTTACTTTGTAATAATTTTCCTTCGATTTAAGATGGGTATTTTGTTATATTTGAAATAGTTTTATTGCCCATAGTTCTTATTATTTAGTGCATATATGTCTTTTAGAGGCCCATCTATACATAAAGATCTATGACTTGTTCTCACCTCAAACAGATGTTCACCAATCATTAATTTTCACCTCCCAACACATGCTCTTCTGTCATCCTCTATTCCTCAGCTATTTGCATGGTTTTTGTGTGTCTTAAGCTTTGCTGACCAACCCCATGTTGAAAAAAAATGTCCAGCTGTTTCAACTGTTTTGTCATTTTTATATTTGTTTGAAGCACTGGAAACTGATATGTCTTTATCTACAATTAAAACATATTTCAAGTCATGTTAAATAAAAATGATTTATTTTAAATTGTTGTCATCGTTTTAGTGCCCATTGCATTTTTTTTGGCTTTATGATTGTGTGCAAATGTGTATATTATTGTTAAACATGTTGCACTTTACAACAGTTTGATTCCTTAAGTATTGAGAATAAAAATGTAGCATATTTATTTACTCTTTCAAGTTTTAAAAGACAATAACAAATGACTTTTGTATTTGTTCATAAAGCTCATCTTGTCAAAAAGTGGTGTACTTAAGTTAAAGTAAATGGCATGTGTCTCATTTAGAATTCCCTTATTGTAAAGTGCAACTCCTAAATCAAACAATAAAAAAAAAAAATGTTCATATTCTTATTAGTAATATACACGTGTGGGGTCCTCTGGCATTGGAAATGTAACATGGAAAAAGCTAATTTTTATTCTAAAAGATACTATTGCTGATAGGCATAGGCTACAGATTAGCACGCAAATATTCATAGAATCGTAAATTTGTATTTTCTTCATTTCATCTTGTCACCTGTATTGTATGTCAAGCATTCTTATTCTTGCTTCATTCTGTTCCAAGTATAGTTTGCCATTGAATCATCATTACTTGCCATAGAAACCGTTTATTGTTATATTCTCATGTTGTTTGTGTAAAATGTGGCTTTGTTACTCTGTATGCAATTCCCCTTTTGACTGACTCTAATTTCTCTTTCTGTTTTTTTTTTTGTTTGTTTTGTTCAATTATTTTATGTTACTTTTATGTTGAATTTATTATTGCTTTTGATTTAAATTTTAATTTAAATTATTCTTGAAGAAACAACTGATCGAAGCCCGCCAAGAACACAGGCTTCTGGCTACCCTCACAAACCTGTCTTTTCAACAAGGTCTTATCAGGCGTGGTCGCCTGTTCCTATCACCGTCCCTGGCCAAGCAAAGTCTGGGTTTGGTTCCCTCTCAAGCTCATCATCAAACACGCCTTCTGCCTCTCCCTTGAAATCTGTATGGTCCATCAACTCTGCTTCCCCCATTAAGACTAATATCCCTGGATCACCAGCCTCCTCTGTAAAGTCAGTTAGTGACACAGCCTCTCCCATTCGATCGTACAGATCTATTTCATCTCCTATAAAAACTGTAATCCACCAATCCCAGTACCCTGTTCAGGTGTCCCCCAGCCCCATGGCCTCTCCTGGTAAAAGTACTTCAGACCCTTTGTCAATGAAAGGATTTTCGGCATTGTCCTGTAGAACCCCTATCACATCACCTGGAGGCGGAAGTCCTTATCTTGAAAGAACATCTATGGGTCTGACCCCACCAACCTCTCCAAAATCTTCTTTTAGCATGTTTGGGTCTCCCCTGCCATATAAAACTATATTGGGAAGTTCAACTGGTACAACGCCATCCTCCTCACCCATTAAAACAGTCCCTGGTCTTACATCTGTACGTTCTCTTGCAATGGATTCCACTGCTCCTGTAAGAAGCCTGTTCTCCTCTCTTTCCTCACCTATTAAATCCTCCAACCCTCCAAGTGCTGCTGCTCTGATTAATGGAACTGTTTCACCTGCACAGTACCGCTCTTCATCCCCAACAACTCATCTTGTGAGCAGCCTGCAAGAAAGAATACAAGCAACCACCAACGCTGCTACTACAAGTGTTGATGCAGCCTTTGATGAGGTTGAAAAGACATTCAATTCTTGCTCTGCAGGTTACGGCACTTTAAAGTCTTTTTCTTCGTCTGCCTCCTCCTCATACCAGTCCATGAGGTCATCAGCATCTGGTTCACTCTACGCCTCCCTAAGATCTCCTCCTAATGTCACAACTGCTGTAACTTCAAGTACAATGACTGTTCCAGTATACTCTGTGATGAATGTGGTGCCAGAGTCCCAGTTGAAAAGGAGAACCGAGGTGCCTCCCTCAGTGGCTGTCCTTCTGTCGCCTAGAAAAAGTATTCCTTCTGATGGGAATACTCAGCCCTCATTTGCCAAAACTCTGTCCCCTGTCAAAGCACCCCTTTATTCTTCCAGCATCAAATCCAGCATGGCATCACCATTGTCATCAAGCCAAGAAATTCTAAAGGATGTAGCTGAAATGAAAGAGGACTTGATAAGAATGTCAGCCATTTTGCAGACAGACCCAAACTCTACAGCTAGCAAAGGGTTTCAGTCTGATTCTCCCAAAGAGGCTAAGATAGAGGATGAGGAGCCATATCGGATTGTGGAGAAAGTAAAACAAGACTTGGTAAAAGTAAGTGAAATCCTGACTAAAGATTCCAGGAAGGATGGTAGGATTTCTCCATCTAGAGGTTCTTTGGATGACATACACTTTTCAAAAGTGCAAGTTGAACAGCCACCAAGCAACTGGAGCTATCCACCAAGATATGAGACAGTTGTTTCTCAAGCAAGATCAAAAAACATACCTGATAGAGATATTAATCTGTCTAAAGTGGTTGACTACCTAGCCAATGATGTTGGCACCAACACTTTCTCTAAAATGCATGACATAAAACAGAAAGCAGATGAAGGAAAAAGAGAAGGAGAGGGCAAAGAGAAGCAGAAACGAATCCTAAAACCCACTATAGCTGTTCAGGAGCATAAGCTCAAAATGCCTCCAACAACCATGCGATCTTCTCCCTCTGAAAAAGAAATGAGTAAAGTGACTGATGCACTTTTTGGTGGTGACACTGTGCTGGAATCCCCTGACGACATATCCCATGAGCAGGATAAAAGTCCTCTCTCAGACAGTGGGTTTGAGACCAGGAGTGAGAGGACACCTTCAGCTCCTCAAAGTGCAGAAGGCACAGGTCCCAAGGCTCCATTTCAGGATATCACAGTACCACCAGTTATCACAGAGACTAGAACTGAAGTTGTGCATGTCATCAGGAGCTATGAACCAGAGGATGACAAGCAGTTAACAATGGAAGATGCAGATTCTGATAGAAAAATAGACCCAGATTTAAAGGGGCATCAGACTCCTTCTTTATCACTTCCAGACCAGAATAAATGCTATTCTGTGAAAGGTAGCCCTGATGAAGATCCAATGGGAAAGGGAATGAGGGTGAAAGAGGAAACTCACATCACTACCACCACCAGGATGGTGTACCACAAACCAACTGGCAAAGAAGCTGCATCTGAGAGGTGTGAAGAAACAATGTCGGTGCATGATATCATGAGGGCTTTTCAGTCAGGAAAGGACCCCTCTAGAGAGCTGGCTGGATTGTTTGAACACAAGTCTTGCAATGAGGAAGTGTCACAAAGATTGCTTGAGGACTCCAAACCTAAGGTTGAAAGAATAATTGAGGTTCATATTGAAAAGGGCAGTAAAACAGAACCAACAGAAGTAATAATTAGAGAGACAAAAAATCATGCAGAGAAAGACATGTATTACTACCATGGGAGTAGACAAGAAGACGAGGAGCCCGAGGAGTCACTTCCAGTGTACCTTGAGTCCCCTAGAATGAATACCCCTTTGTCACAGGAAGAAGACAGTCGTCCCACTTCCGCTCAGCTAGTGTCCGATGACTCCTATAAAACATTAAAGCTACTTAGCCAGCAATCTGTAGAGTACCATGATGATGAATCATCGGAGCTTAGAGGAGAATCATACAACTTTGCTGAAAAAATGCTATTATCTGAGAAAATTGATCAATCTCATTCAGACACTGAAGAGTACCTGAGAGATAGATCCCGGTACCATTCACCTGACAGAAGCACTCCCAGTAAGGGTAGGTCATCTGCGCCTAGAACTGAGTATGTATTTAGGTCATCAAGAAATGTCTTTGATAAATCGGGTCGAATGGCTAATGTTGATGATAACTTTGACAAACTAACACTTTTGCAATATTCCTCAGAGCCTGGTAGCCCTAAGCAGTCTGTTTGGATGCGTGTGCCAGATGACACACACAGTAAGGAGAAAGAACAAGTTGTATATGAGGACAGAGTGGATAGGACTGTAAAAGAGGCAGAGGAAAAACTTAGCGAGGTATCTCAGTTTTTTCGGGATAAAACAGAACAGCTTAATGATGAACTGTCATCTCCAGAGAAGAAGTCTCGAAGATCAGACTTCAGGGAATCCCGATCAGGGCCGAGTTCAACCCAAAGTAGCCCAGAGAGGTCACCCTATAAAAGTGGGACAAATGGGGAGGAGTGGAACAGAGAAAGATTAAGAGATAGATTTGGTCCTAGTGATAGAAAATGTGCCAGTTTACCTAGCAGTCCCGAAAGAAGGGTATTGCTCCAGTTAAGTGATGCTGACTCTAGAAAACAAGGAGATGGAAAATTACAGGAAAGTGTTAGTGATTGTCCTAAATCTTTTCAAGTGTCTTCTTCCAAAGTGAGTGCAGTCAGATTAAAGTTTGAACAAGAGGCTCAAAAGCAAGACAGGGTAAGTCCAGGGAGTCATACCCAAAATTCTCCTATCAGGAAACTTCAGGAAACGAGACTACCAGTATATCAAATGTTTTCTGGGTCTAGTATTCAAAAAGTACCTGACAGTCCAGCAACCCAAAGAAAATACCCAGATACTACGTCACATAAGCCATCGCCCTGTCAGGAAACCAGTCGAAAAGATCAGGAAGACAGCAAATCATTCAAAGCATGGGAAAGCCAGAGGTATGGACACTGTAAACCTCAGTCTTCAAAATTATCAAATTATTTGGCTCATGATTCTGTAAAAGATTGCAGTAGTGATTCCCAAAGGCAAGAAACAACTAAAAAGATAATTTATACAGAATTTGTTGTCAGAGAAGGTACAAGTACCAATGACAGTCAAAAAAAAAACTCGGAATCACAAATTCCTGTAAAAAAATCATTTAATTTTTCAGAAAACCACAAATCCACCTCTTTAAAATTAGATGAACCAAATGAAATACCTGGGCATCCAACATCTACTTTAGGTAGAAATCTGTTACACAGCAGCTCTGAATCAAATAAGTCTACTCACCGACGATCCTTAGGAAAATCCATAGAAAGTAGCCAGTCAAATGTAGTGTGTAATGGTATTGATGATGATCAGGTACAATACTTGGATCAAGCAATTCCCGTAGTTGTGACTGAGGGTTTCAAAGATATTAAACCTTTACCAGTGTATGTCAGCATCCAAGTTGGAAAGCAATATGAGAAGGAAACAACTTCAGGGCAGAAGGGGACTTACAAAAAGATTGTGAGTCATGAGAGTAGAACAGTACATGAAACGAGAGGTGCAGTCTGCAGTGTCAAACAGAAACAGTCTCCTTCTCCTCAAGGAAGTCCAGAAGATGACACTCTTGAACAGGTAACTTTCATGGATAGCTCGGGGAAAAGCCCTGTAACTCCTGAGACTCCAAGCTCGGAGGAACTGAGCTTAGCGTCAAGAACACCAGACTCTGTGATTGGTTTCATGACTGGCATGCCAAGCCCTATCCCTGAGGAATCTGAGGAGGAAGATGGAAAGACCTTCATCTATAAAGAACCATTAAAAGAAAAACCTAAGTCAGCCACCTCAGAGATTCCCAGTAAAAAGCAGGATGCAGAAAGAGGGAAGTCAAAGGAGAAAAGAGTTGCCTATATAGAGTTTCCACCCCCGCCTCCATTAGAGTCAGAGCAGTCCAGTGCTAAGAAAAGGACTGCATGTACTACCTCTGAGGCAGAGACAGAGATGATGGAGGTAAATCTGCAAGAGGAGCATGACAGACACCTTCTAGCTGAGCCTATTATTCGAGTCCAGCCTCCATCCCCTATCCCCCCAGGAGCTGATAACAGTGATTCTAGCGATGATGAGTCTGTCTTCCATCCTGCCCCTGTCAAAAAGTACACCTTTAAAATTAAAGAAGATGGAGAAAAATGTCAGAAAAACAAAAAGTTTGAGAAAGATGGAAATGGAAAGGAGTCTGGTGCTAATGGTGGTGGAAAGGGAGAGGACACTGAATTGGAACAAAATGGAAATGATCAGTCAATCACTGACTGCTCAATAGCTACAACCGCTGAGTTCTCCCATGACACAGATGCTACAGAGATTGACTCTTTAGATGGATATGACCTTCAGGATGAAGATGACGGACTAAGTGAAGACCCTAAAACATCTAGCTTGTCCAATGACGGGAAAACTGCTGACCGTTCATTTAATCAGTCCAAGCTTGAAGTAATAGAAGAAGAGAAATGTGAGGAAGGAGGTGACATTGGAAAGAATAAAAGTAGTGCATCTGCAGCAAAAGCAAGTGGTGATAAGAAAGACTATACCCTTGAAGGAAGACACCCAGATAGAAAGAGCTCTGGGGAGAACTATTTTGGATACCAACTTCAAGATGAGTTAAATACAACCTTTAAAACTGTTGCTACAAAAGGTCTGGACTTTGACCCTTGGTCAACAAAAGGTGTAGATAATGAAGGGCTTTTTGAGTCTAAAGCAAAAGAAGAGGACCCAAAACCTTACAGTTTGTCGGCTGAGGAAAAATCACAGGCTACAACACCTGACACAACCCCTGCTCGAACACCAACTGATGAGAGCACGCCAACTAGTGAGCCTAACCCCTTCCCTTTCCATGAAGGGAAGATGTTTGAGATGACACGCAGTGGTGCTATTGACATGAGCAAGCGGGACTTTGTTGAAGAGAGGCTTCAGTTTTTCCAGATTGGTGAGCATTCCTCTGACCCTACAACAGGGGAAAGGGGGAGAGGGGGAATGATCCAGGGGGTACCTTCCTCTCAGTCAAAAACTGGGGAGAGGTCAACAGTAGATGGAAAGGTGACGGTTGTAGATGTTACCTTAGACAGCAGCAGCACTAGACCAACAACACCAGCTACAACTGCAGCCAAATACAATCCTGCACAGCCTGGCAGTGACATAGGTTGTGCTGTTACTAATATCCCTGCCTGTGAAGCCATAGCTGAGACTGCCTCTTCATGCACAATCACTGCCTCTAAGGTTGATTCCAAATTACGAACTCCCATTAAAATGGGCATAGCTGCCTCCATAACTGTAAAGAAAGACTCAGGGGATCTCCTGGACAGTAAAACTGAGTTGTCTGAGGGTCAGGTGGTGCCAGAATACATTAGTATAGAGGGTAGGTGTTTGGAGAAACAGCCTAGCAGCCATGCTGAGCCTAGGAAAGAAAAAAAAGAATATCCATCTGAAAACTGCAACAACAACAATAACTTGGAATCATCCAGTGTTCAGGCCAACTATATTCATTGTGGTAGTTTAGTTTTTAATTTACAGTCTTCCTCTGAGCCCACTCTACAGAAAGCTAGCAGAATAGAAACCCTATGCTGTAAAGATAAGAATGAGAGAGTCGAAGAGCCCACTAGCACTCAGGTTCAAGAGCAGAAAACAGAAGTAGTTAAAGAAAGTGAGGCAAAGCTGCCCAGGTCGAGGCTTCCTGTCAAAGCATCAGGGTGGTCTTTTCATACACAGGGAACGACTGTTGGGAAGCAGAAACCCAAACAAGCAGTAACAGGTGAGGTCAGGAAAAGAGGAGATCCATTGATTGCTAAAGTTGAGCCTAGATCAAGGATACCGGTCAAAGATGTTAAGAGGATCAGTCATGCTTCCACAGTTAGCTTACCTGTCTCAGTTCGTATTACATCACGTCCTGTAAAGACACTGAATACAGCAAGAGCAGCCGTACAGCTACCCACAAGGCAACCACAAAAGGATAAGCATCAGGTCTGCAGTGTCACCAATGAAGGAGCATCTAGACAGAATAGACAGGAAAACCCTAGTGAACTTTGTAAGCGCACCATCGAATACTTTAAAGACATTAGCGGGGAGACGCTAAAGTTGGTGGATCGCCTGTCAGACGAGGAGAAAAAGACGCAAACAGAGCAGTCGGAGGAAGACAGCACCTCCCGAAGCACCTCTCTGTCGGACGCCTCCCAGCCTTCCCAGCCCTCCCAGCCCTCCCGCTCATCCAGGTCTGGTAGAGGTTCGAGGGCTGAGGCCGGGGCCGCGTCCGTAAGGGCAAAGGTGGCGACGACGGACAGGGCTTCCGGCAGTGAGAGGAGGAGAAGGAGTAGGCGGACTGGTGGGAAGGAGGGCAGTCAGGGACTCACAGGGTCTCGAACGCCTCCCATCGCGGAGATCAAGCCTAGTTTGTAAAACTTTCACACTATGTTTAAAATACATCTATATATTTAAATTTTTCACTTTTAGTTGCATGACATTGTTGTGATCATTTTATCAATTGATTGGAATGCCTGTGGCGTGTTTACATAATCTCCTCAAAGCAGTAGCTGTCATTTAAATTCCTTTTTGTTGTCATAAATGTACTGTGCTGTCACTGTTACAAGATTTTCTGTCTTTCACTCCCCTCTTTCAACCTTGTTAAGCATAGATATGAGGGGCTAAGCATGCCATAAGATGTGTCAGGTCACTGGCACAACCAGTCCCATGTTTGCCGAACTCCCTGGTCTGTCTATTTGTCCGTGCAGGGTGGTTACTGACTTATTGTGGTAGTTTGTTGTAGAACATTTTATACAGCTGTCATTGAGACTAATCAGTGTTTACCAAAAACACAAAAGTACCAATGCATGGTGACGTTTTTAGATTCTAGATTTATAGACCTATATGCCTTTTGTTGAATCATGTTTTTTTTTGTTTTGGTTTGTGTAATTGTCATGACAGTTACTGCCTGTTTAGTGCCTACTTACCACAAACAGTCACAGAGCACCACTTACTTTATGGACACATCCAAGTCATGATGTCTGTAGTGAAAAATATCCTTTTCTTGTCATCTTGAGCTGATTAATTACCTTAACTAAAAAAGATTAATTTGATGAATTGGGCTGGTCATTTTGATAAACCACCAGTTTTAATTGCATTTCTGCTTTTAAGTCAATTAATAAATCAATATTTTGTAAGTCTCATAATAACAGGTCTGAAACATATATAAAACAAGTGTCCAGAAAAGGAAATTATGTCATTTGTTTTTCTCTTATATTAGAAAACAACCTTTTTAAAAAAAGAAAATTATATTGATATATTTTTATTCTTTATTATAACCAGGTCCCCAAAGTCCTTGTGAGCGAACAGACCTGCGCATGGCCATCGTTGCAGATCACCTGGGCCTCAGCTGGACAGGTATGAACCAGTCTCTATGGATGTCAAAAGATTATAACATAATTTAAATGCCTATTAATTTTACTAGATTAATTTACAAAGTAAAACTCCTTTTAGCTCAAATCATTATACACATACATTTGAAACATTTGTTTCTGTTAGCTTATATAACTGGCCTATTTAACACAGCTAATGTAAACCCCAAATTTCAGTTTCCTTTATTAGACCATTACAGACAAACAAAAAGATATCTTTGTATATAGAAACATTTGTTACTGAAAAGTGTAGTACTTTGTAGTATTTTAGAGACTTGAAGGAAGCCCAGGTTTATCTAGTCATCTAACTTTCCCCTTACCAATAGAACATATGTTTCCGTATGGAATTGCAGCACCAGCATCTCCAAAAGCTTTTCTGCAAAGGGAAAATGTTCTCCTTCCAGATGAGTGGCAGGACTACGGACTTAATAAAACTCTCTCATGACTTGGCTTCACAAACCATCAATGTTAAACATTCAGACTGAATCTCCAACTACTTGGATTATCTACCTCTTCTGTTTTTCTCTACTGTTTGAGAAATTGATTGCCCAATGAAATACAAATTTGCTTTCATCTGATAAGATGAAAGCAAATTTTTTGTCCAACAGTCCAGTCCCTTTTTTATTCCTAGACCAGGTTAAAAACCTTTAACACATCTGTTGTCTAAGAGCGGATAAACAAGGGATGAATCAGCTGATGCCTACAGCGGTGTTTGTTGCTATCTAAAACCCTGACTCCAGCTCCATCCACACCTTCAGAATCTCTCACACTATTGAATAATTTTTTATCTTTAGTCAAGACCAAAGTTTTTTTCTGTTGCTTGTGCATCTTTTCTATCACCCTTTTTCCTTCTCTTGTTTTCCCCATAATAAGCTAGTCCACAGCACTGTGTGACCAGCCAGCTTCTTTAGCACCAATGTCTTGAGACTTACCTTTATTGAGGAAGAAGTCGTTGAGTGTTGAGCACGACTGTCGAGTCAGCTTGCTTCTCCATTACACTGTAGTACATAGCATTACATTCCTTTAAAGGGGTCATAGAATGATTATATAGGGTATTTACTGCTGGTCCTTAAGATCTCAGAATAAGGTGTGTAACATTGGTTGGGCCAAAAATTGCATATCTGCTGTTCTATGAGCCCTACTGCAAGCCTGGTTAAAAGCCCTAGAATAAGACGGCAGGTTTTTCTTCCTTTTATCATATGCTCATGTATATTTAAATGAGCTTTGCACTGATTGGTAGGTTTACAACCAGCGAAGCTGCTGAGCAAAGACGCATCATAGCAATAAGCACTCACTCACTGAAAGATCAAATTGGGTGACCACACGTCATCTTTTTCCTGGACATGTCCGGGGGGAATTTCAAAGTCGTCCTGGATTTTGGTCGACTACAATCCTGCATTGTAGTCGAAACACACCGGGTACCGAACCTAGCCGTCAGCTCCAGGGCTGGTCGCTCGGAGGGAGTGACCGAACCCAACCCGACACCGGCGGCCCCGTGCTTACTGTCTCCGGTAAGCGTATCGTCACCAGGTCGGGTTCGGTCACTCTGTCCCCAGCTGGCTTGGTTCAAATGCCCAGGGCGGTCCAGTCAGCTGCCCAGGTTTAAACTTCTCTGTACGTCCACCCACTTTCACCCACTGAGCTATCATTATTCATCTTTGACAATGTGAACTCGGTTTTGCATTCTATGACCCCAAATAATAAATGGTTATAATGTGTCACACTGTGAGTAATGCATCTATGTTACCTTTTTTAAATGGTTTTACATTAATTAACCTTTTCCATGGTAATTAAATTTATTGAGTTTCACTTGCAGCTTCTCTCTGAGTCTTCCTATTTTTTCTGGCCTTTCTGTCTCAATGTCTTTTTTGCTGCCACCTTCAGGTTACGTTACACCAAACAAGAAATACTTTGTTTTAACTCAGTGCAGTGTCCACATTATACTCTATTACCATTTGACTTCAAGGTAAATTTCTGGTCATTTAGTCAGGGATCAGACATAGATATTCTAATATTGTTGCTTAGATTGACATTTTTAAAGCTTATTTTCAAACTTTCCATTGGTGTTCATTGTGGACCTCTAAAACTGATTTCTTTTTTATCTCCTTTAACAATGCAACACACTAAACAAATACAATAAATCTAACTGGAAGTTAGTAATTTTATGTAGACAATTGTAGGTAAAAAAAAAAAAAAAACTAAAGTGACAACACAGAAAGAATGAAATGTAAAATAAATATACTTGATTCCATTTAAATGTTATATTTCCAATACTAATATTTGAGTTGCATTACTGTGATCACAGAGCTGGCTCGGGAGATGAACTTCACAGTGGATGAGATCAACCACATAAGACTTGAGAACCCAAACTCTCTGACGGCACAGAGCTTCATGCTTCTTAAAAAATGGGTCAGTCGTGAAGGGAAAAATGCCACAAGTAAGCCTATTTTTATTTACAAAAACATTACTGACATCTCTGGTCTTGCACAGAAGCTGAATTATTACTTTCACAAGTATATTTAAGTAAAAGATATTCCCACAAGCTGAAGTCATCTATTATCCTGCTATTTTCTTTTCAGTGTTTCTTCCTTCATTTCTATCTAATTTGATATTTGCTCCAACATGTAGTCGGGATAATCTGTTAAATCAGAACATATGAAAAACTGAGTGGTTTACTTTTGCTGAGAATTGTTTTGGAAAATAATAGATTATTTTTGTGATGATTCATGAAAGAAACATGACTTATTTTCTCTCCACAGCGGATGCCTTAACTGAAGTGCTGACCAAAGTCAATCGGATGGATATTGTGACTTTGCTGGAGGGCCCAATATTTGACTATGGTAACATTTCAGGCACGAGATGTTTTGCCGATGATAACGCTGTTTTCCGGGATCAGGCTGATGGTAAAGTTTAGCTCTACTAGCTGACCTCTTACCTCTCCCTGCTACCTTTTCTGTTGTGCAAATGCATGGGTCAACTAGCTTTTTGACCTAAAGAAAATTTCTAAAGTAGATATTTTTTACACTAAGATTTGCTCTTTGGACAACTGGATACCACTGTTTTCCAAATGCTTGGTGGGTTCCTGTAATTCCATAGAGTATTTGCCATTGAAATAAATATGATAAACAGCATAACATTTCTCTTTACTTTACAGTTATACAATTTAATTCTATTATTAATTCTTTAGCTAACAACGTTTGTTTATTTGAATTAAGATACGTTAGTTCAGTCCAAAAAAGGATCAATATGGTGAATCCAGTTGTCCCAAATAACCATTTTAGTGATTAAACCCTTCTATAAGTGCATGTTGACTACTGCAAATTGCTTCGGTGTTGCTTAATTTTATGTAAATAGGAATTAAATAATTTTGTAGAATCTGCCTTTCTGCCTTTATTGAGCCTTGAAGAAATATTTATTTCCCTTGAACTCCAAGTGTCACAATACAACTGCAATGCTATTTATTAGGATTTTGTGTGATAGACCAAGTCAAAGTACAGCATAATTGTGAAGTGGAAGGCAACTATATAGTCTAGTATATCTACTGAAAAGGCAAAGATTGTTTTACACCTTGCAATACCTCACTGACTGAAGAAAAAGAGCATTAACCAGAGAAGCTGCTAAGAGGTCCAACTCTCTGGAGTTGTAGACATTCATGTCTCATATGAGGAAATTGGCCTTCATCATTCAAAGTTTTGGAAGAAAATGGCAAGAAAAAGCCATAGCTAAGGAACAAAATACATGCAAATGCATGTGGTACAAATGTAGTCAAATGAACAAAACTGTTGGTGGAAGCATCATGCCTAAATAATATGTTTAATTAGAAGGCACAAGGAGTTTATTCAGAGTTGATGTGTGGATAATTAATCAGTCAATCAATCAAAGTTTATTTGTATAGCACTTTACAACAACAGCAGGGACACCAACGTGCTTCACAGAAAGAAAAAAACATTGTAAAAAAACAAAACTCCTAAACAATAGCAGTGTGTTCTAAGTATAACAGCCAGATTTAAAGAATTAGTCTTTAGAAATGTATTAAAAGGGGCAGATCTGTGAGAACCCACACACCGAGGGGCAGGCTATTCCACAGTTCAGGTGCAATAACCATAAAGGAATGACCGCCCCACTGTTTTTACCTGGATCTGGGCACATCCAGAAAATTTGATAGGCAGACCGGAGAGCTCTGATGGGGCAATGTACTGCCAACAGACTTAAAAGTGTTTGAAAATAAATCCTATTCCTGGAAGGAAACCTGTTAGTATTTGCATTAGACTTTAGAATCAGGCTGAAGTTCTGTGTTCAGCAAAACCACAACCCTAAACCTGGAGCCAAAGCTACGACTAAATAGAGGTATTTAAACTATTATATATGTTTTGAGGGGTGTAGTCAAAGACCAAACCTATATCAAATTGAGCACCCATCTTTAAAATCGATTTCCACAGATGTGCAAAGAAGAATGGGCAGCTGTATTTAGATAAAGTTTTTTTTTTTCTGTTTATGAAATGTTTTGACAACCATTTGCCTTTCACTTCACAACGATGGACTATTGTTCTTTTGGTTAATTCCAGAAAACGCCATTTGAGTATGTAACTGTTCAAAATTGGTATCGGTTTATGATGCCTAAAGTTCAAGGGAGTAGATATTTTTGAAAATCACAGTTTTTAGTTCAATCTTGTAGTTCTCCTTCAGTTCCTCTGAGCCTTCTTTGGATAGATGAGAGAAATTCTTCCCCTGTGACCCAGACTGCCTCCTCCTCCTCCTCCTGCATTCCCTTCACCTCCCTGCAGTACCATGAGTCGCTGATAACAGCACAAAACAGCTCCTAACTATTTAAGAGTCATCCACGTGTGCCTGCTCCTAAATCCCCCACATTATTCATTCGTTTTGTTTTACAAGCATTGTTTCACATCACTTTGTTTTTCTTTTTTTCCTTTCTTCAACCCTTTTGTGTTTTGCCCTCTATGTTCTTTGTCATTTTGTGTGTTTATAGTTTGTATTATTATTCCCCTAACTCCCGGAAGCACTGAAACACCTTATATCCTGCCGACACCGAGTCCATTTTTCCCAACACAAACGCCAACTCCTCCACCCACTCCCCTCACACCTTCTGCCACAGCTACCTCCCGTCCTTTATCCCAGCACCGGTCTTTGAGTTATGAATCATCCATTTTGCTTAAAGACTTGGCTCCTGCTACACCGTTGGAGCTCTTGCAGTCCAACCGTCTGTCCTTGCGGCCAGTTCCTCAATGGCCCTCGTCTGACCCATGTGAATTCTCCTTCTTGCCTCAAATTTCCTCCCCAATTCCCCTCATCACCTCACCAATACCATACTCAGCTGCACCTTTCTCACCATCGCCCTGTTCAGTCACATCCATCCCATCTTCTCCAACTTCAGTTCCAGTGTCACCCATTCATAACACACCTGGTTTGATTTCTTCACAAGCAGAAATAGCCTCTCCAACATTTACTAATTTCTCCTGTGACATATCCTGCCAAACCCCCTCCTTAATAAAAACAGACCTCAGTCCTGCAGCCATAAGCTCTTTATCTTCCTCTCATGACCCTAACCTGTTTCAGTCCATTACCATCCTTTCACCCTCTGTCATTGACTCTGCAAGCAAAGACTCTCTAATTGCCCAGCTGAACTCCTCATCGCGACCCGTCTCCCCTCTCTCTGTATGCACCCTTCCTAACTTTTCTCCCTCGGGGTCCCGTTGCCCCAGCCCCAGTCCTTCCTCTCCCCCTCTGCGCTCCTTGTCTCCCTGTCCTGTTTGCCAGTGCAAATGTATGACGTCAGTCAACCCACCTCCCGCTCGAACCCGCTCAGATCCTTCTAAAATGGAACTATTCATTTAGCCAGCTCTTGTTTCGTCCCATTTCTCTCCTCCCAACCCTTCCTTTTTCACATCTCTCATCTTTCATCTGTTTTATGTGAGCTTGCAAATCTACACCCTGACAAATAATGTGTAATTACACCTATCAAATCCAACACCATGACTCATGTAGCCTTAGAGTGCTGCTTTATCATCTTACCACTCTCTAACCAACAGCCTGAAAATCAGGAATTATATTTATTACATAATTCTATGGTTCTCAAACTGTAATAAAGGTACCACTGATGGTAAATGAGGAACCTGGAGATGGGCTTGAATGGGATGCAGACCATCAGAAGAGCTATTAAACAGTATATTTGGAAATGTTTTGGCTAATTTTGACTATATTTTATGTGTACAAGAGCAACATTAAATTATTTTTGTTAAGAAATAACATTTACCAAAATAATTATGATTTCAGAGACAGTTTTATTTCTTTTTATATGGACTATATAGAAAATCAGAGTTCCTGGTATGAAAAGAGAGCATTGTTCTATGCAGGGTGGAAATAAACATAATAAAAATGTAAAGTAAGCACCAAGATTACCTTACTGGATTTAGGAAGGGCATTAAATGTTTCAAGTTTAGAACCGATGGGTTCTTCTAAGTTATAGTTATTATTCACCAAAAAAAATGCATTAATCGTTTCCTGATCCTTTCTATTAGCCTTGTATTCATCTGCGTTATGAACATCCAAACACTGTAGGGATGTATTCAGTTGAATAAAAAATGTTATCATCAAAAATGAAAGTTAGCTTTCCTTTTTATACTGCAGCAATCACTAATGCACATGGCAGCCATATTGGATTGCTGTGTGGGTGAGCACTGTTCAAACATTGATATTTGGAACTCCAGCTTCTGTGGGTCTCTCTGTAAACTTTCCCACCTTTAAACTTCTGACTATTTTAAATGAAAAAAGTGTATGATGTGAGTCCATAATTAAACCAGATCCCAGAACCAATTGAGTAGTGCCAATTTGAGTTGTTGTAGATTGCTTTTCTTTTGGAAGGCAGTTTGTTTGTCACATAACAAACAAACCAAAAAGTATGATCAAAGTCCTTTAATTATACAGTTTTAAAATGTTAATCCAGATGATGTTTTTTTTTTTTTTTTGAAATCTTGGTATTTACTGAAGTGGTACCTGTTATGAAAAGTTTGAGAACCAGGAGAGTAATTTTAACTTGATACATCCATATAATTTTTAAGGTATAGTTTACAAAGTAATCCTTAAAAAATATATGGAATGATTTCTTGTACATTTCTGTTTAAATGTTTTTGATGTTAGTTTGCCATGTAGTGATTTGACTGGATCTCTTTAATGCCATATTACACGTTAGTCTAGATACATGCCTCGCTCTTGAGTCTCTTTCACTGTCCATGTCATGTGGGTTTTGATGGGTTTTATGTTTTTTTCTGTGTTTTGGTGTGTTGTATTCTGTTGTGGCATGCTTCTATCCGTGTCTGTATGTTTCTCATCCTTTCACCTACAGATTATCAGAGCATTCTAGCTGAGCTGCAGTCTCCTGCTGCTCTGCACTCCACTCCCCACTTCCTGGAGCATGAACTCCCAGTCACCCCCAACCCTTCCCTTCCTCAACATCAGCATCTCCATTACCCCAAACCAGACTCCTCTCTTCAGACTTACAGTAACCCACAGCTCACTGCCTGGAGCCCAGAGGTTGAAGCTTGTAGCAAAGAGCCAGAGAGCTCCCCTAAGAGTCCCCCAAGGCCCTGTGACCTTGCTCTGCCCGTTCCAACCTTTGATTTTCCCGATCCTCTTCCTTCTAAGGTCAGAAAGCCCCATATTGCTTTAAATGACCAGCTTCTTTTGAGTGAAGAGGAGGACAGATCTTTTCAAGAAATGCAGCCAACCCTCAAGCCCAGGTCACAGTCCTTCCAAACAATGTGTGAATTGGACGTCGAAATGGCATTCTCTACGTCTTCACCTTCGCTGTCATCCATGTCTTCAATAACTCCATCATCCCCCGACAGAACGTGTTTTGGTGTGCAGATGGCCAACACCCTTGATGTGGCACAAGACGACGTAGGTCAGAAAGGAAGTCAAATGGAAGTCAAAGAAGAAATTGAAAAGGTTGTTGAGATTGTTGCAGCTCAGTTAGCAGAGAGGAGTGGATTAGTGCAGAAGTTGGTAGAACAAGAATTGATTAAAAATGTGGAGAGAAAGTGTGAGATGGTTGCAAAAGACAGGTCTCAGTTGGAAGAAGAAAAAACAAAATTGGTGGAACAGAAATGGTCTACAGAGCAGGCCAAAAGTCATGTTAATGTACAGCACGATGGTGTTCAAGATGGGAATAAAACAGGGGTATATAAGGAGGAGAAGGCTAGAGATGAACAAAATTTCTTAACGGAGAATATTAATCTAATAAAAACTGAACATAAAGGATTGAAAGAGGTTGTTTTTCAACCTCCGGCTGCTGGGGATAAAGTACAAGTGAAGGAAAAATTGGAAGAGGTTGATTTAGAACTGCGTTATAAAGAAGGAGCACCAGAACATCAGCCTGTTTCTGAAATTTCCCCTCAAGCTTGGGTTGAAGCGCTTGAGCAACTTCAGCCTAGTGAGTCTGGATCCAATGAGGAAGAACAGCAACGAGACAGAGAAATGCCAGAGGAAGGATCTTTGTTGGAGGAGGTGATTAAAGAAGGCTCAGAGGAAAAGAAGGAGCAGGACACAGAAGTGATTGAATCAAGGCATCAGAAGAGTTTTGAGGAGGTTGAACATGCAGAAAAAAACATATGCTCACTTTCAGGATGGCACAGTGATTCATCCAGCGTCAATGTTGAGCCACCAACACCAGGCCGCAGTGTCAGCTCAGACCTACTGGACAGACAGGAAAGGTACAAGTGTAATCCCATCTAAAGTAGGATTTAGAAAAAAGATAAATTATTCAATTTTTTGATTAAAACTTTCATGGTCTTTACTTTGCAGCCAGGAAAACTCTAGTGAGTCTATCACCTCCTCGTCCAGAGCTGAATCAGGGAGATCCCGACCTAATGGCGACAACTCAAAGCACTCACCTCAGGACGCCTCATCGGAGTCATCTAATGGAAGAAAAGACAGCACACTAGTGTCGGAGAAAAAAATTCAGGTGATGACATATTGAATAAAGAGATGTAAATGAAAAGAAATTAAGGAGAAATTAATCTCTGATCTTTATTTCTGTTTATTTTGTTGGTTGTCGCTTACAGCTGATGGAAGCCCGAAATTAAGTTTCTAAGAAAATTAGCCATATTATGACCTACAGAACATCTGACTTATAAGATATCTATTCTTTATGTATTAGTTCATCAAATTTTAGAGACATTAATTCCTCCTTTTTCCCACCTTTTTATTACGGTGTTATTAATTAGCTGTAAGCAATAATCATTGAAACAGAAAAGCAATGAATGAACTCCTTGATGTAATGATGCTGTTTATGAATTTGACATTCACAGAAATGGATGAACCTTTTCATTTTATTCTGTATTACTAAGATGCACCTGTGGGCAACACTTGTTTTTTTCATACAGCCAAGCACAGAGTAATACCTCATCTAAAAAATGCTCTAACTGACAGATTTGTGTATTTGTTGAGCAAAAGTGACGTGTAATCTTCTAACCCATTCCTCCGCAGCGGGTTAGTGTAGATTCCGGTTCAGATGAAGAACAGACTGTGACCACCAGAATCTTCCGCCGTCGTCTCATTTTAAAGGTACCCTGAAAGCCTGGTGTATAGGCTTGCTGGGCTTTGGTTTGGTGATGTTTTTTTTGTTTTTTCCTCATTCAGTTGTGCCGTCTTATCGATTTGCTCTCTGTTCTGACAGGATTTTTCTCTCTTTGTGTGAATGTTTTGTTTGAGAAAAAAATATTTCTGTACATGTGTCATCAATTTTTATTAATGGAAGCTCATGACTGAGGACTAACTCCGGGCGTTGTTGTTCTCTAATGTTTTCTTCTAGCGTGGTGTTGGTGATGGATTAGTTAGCTTTCTTTTGTGTCAAGGGTTTAGCATTAATTATGAGCTAACCGCAAACACTTACAGGGAGAAGAAGCCAAAAACATCCCAGGCGAGTCTATGACAGAAGAGCACTATATGGACAAGGATGGTAACCTCATCAGTAGAAAAGTAACGTACAATATTTGTTCTAATGTAACATTTATCTCTTTAGATCACAATAGCATGGTTAATGTATTTTCTCAAAGTATAAGAGGACTTTTCAGATCATTTCTCCCTTGTCAACATCCCTTTTTCCTCGAGCAGGTGATCAGGAAAGTGATTCGACGAGTCTCAACTCCAACTCCAGAAAACCAAGGAGGTGACAGGTGGAAAAGTGACTTTCACCACAGTCCCATTCAGCAGGACTTTGGTTCTGAGGTTGGCATGAAGAGAAATCCCTTTAATTATTTTAAGGTTTAATCTAAGTGGGTGTGGATTTCTGGGGTTAGGATGTGGGGGAGTTTAACTGCTTATCAGAAGTTTGGCTTAAAGCTGCACTAAAGATCAAAGTATTTTTAGAGTCTAAAGCCAAATATTAAATTAACTTAAATGGCTCATTTTGTTCACAACTGAAAATAAATTCTGTGATTGGTCTGGCTGTTAACTGCCTGCTTGAGCTATTGTTTATCCACATGGCATGAATTGACCTCTGATCTTTCTGCTGTGGATTGTTCTTTCCCTTAAACCAAAGTTTCCAATTTTCTTCCTAATTCTAAGACATACAAAAATATTCTCCCCTATGGAGCTGATTGGTTGATCGATTTCAGATAATTCCATTATCAAAAATGTTAGTTTAAACTAAACATACACAAGGAAAAAGAACAACATATACAAAGTCATTGATATAAACTCAACACTGCATTTTTTATATCTTTGTTGGGATTCTTGTTAATAGTTTTAACTCACCTGCCCTCAATAATTCTACCTAGGGGAATAAAATGCATTCATATGAAATGCAACCTTTCACGCTGTTTCTGAGTACGATGGAGAGTGAATCAATTTGCTCCTCATTCTGCGTGTTTTTACTGTTTTTTTCCCCAGTTGGTTTCCCAGAGTGCTTTGACTTGATTGTTCCTAACTCTGCTCATAACAAATGTTTCTCCTTCTAGGTATGTTGCTGGTGTGGTGTTGGTTTTTATTAAGTACTTTCTATAACAGCTCTCACTAACCCTTGCTTTTGGTGACAGCGCCATGAAACCAAACCTCGAGTTTGTGTTTTTGTGCTCATTTTTTTGTGAGATTTCAGATTTGCTGTTTTGGGGTGAAGTTTGCTTATGTGCTGTTAAAGAAACCAGAACATTTTTAGTTAAAGAACTTTCTCTTTGTTTTTTGTGGTTCAGCAGGGTGATGGAGTAAGGAAATGCAGACGATCAGGGGATAAAAAGCACCACTCGTAGGAATGGTTTGGAGTTATCAGGTACATTAACATACCTTTTTTATCATATCATAATATATCTACTCTAATACTTCCTTATACATTTTTTTCCCATTTTGTATCTTGTTGTTACTTTTTTTATTTGCAATATTTGGAAATGCACAGATAATTAAGAATTGATTATTTAAGCAATTTACCGCTAAATTAGACTAACCTTCATTTAATGAATGTACAAATGTGTCATGCACAAACATTGGATGCCTATGTATGCCAGCTTATATATATCAGCAATATATTTTCATATTTTCAATAGAAACTGAGTGCTTTACCTGTTTTTTTTTTTAATCAAACAGTAGAAGTATTTCAGATCAGTTAGTGCTATACTGTGCAATTGAAAGAGATGATTGTTTTAAATGAATTTGCACACTTAGAGTACCATATA